GCGGACAGTAGCGTATTGCAGCCATGGAAACGGACAGGGTCAAAGACTGCAGATTCTACCCGACCTAAAAAGCCTTGTCAATAAAAAAATTGCAAACGTATACATTAACGTATAGTGTAAGACTCGTCGCTTTCCATTGTCAATTGCTCTAGCATGTTTCGTGTCCTCAATCTGGCAAGCCGCGTGTACGTCGAGTCTGAGGAGGAGGGGGAAGTGGAAACAACTCTCCAATATTTTTAATTTGGACTGCAGTACCCATTTCAACCGCTAGCTGTCAATATTACATACTGCACCTTTAAAATAAGGTTTGTAATGGAAAAATTACCCATTAATGGAAAAATTAAAATGGAAAAATGAAAAAGTCGACCTGAAGTGGTGGGGTTTCTTTTAAAAACTATTTTCAGTCGTGGGGCTACACGTTTCAAATATCATAAAATGAGAAGAAGGAGGTTGCAAATAATAATGAATTGCATAGATGCTGTGATCGAAATGGGTCCGGAAAGTATGGGTCCGGAATCTTAGGAGGGAATTGTGGCACATCCTTTACAGACAATGAATGACTGTGCAACTTTCAGGCACGAAAGCAAACTTACTGCGTTCTGCACCCTCGAATTGTCTCGCAAAAACACCCAGCTATGTGATAGTGGGTGGGGTTTTCGTCATCCTGTGAATACAGATATTATGGCTATAAGGCATTTACATTACTCTGATTATATCCAATTACAATGTGTCCTCGACTACCTCTCTACCAGGACACATAACATTCTGATCAAAAACGCGTTTACACTTGTCTTTTCAATGTGTATGTGTGGAAACACCTGCTTGAGGCTACATTGATGAAGAAAAGATTTTTCCAGCTAAAGAGTGGTCACAGTGATCTCAGGTGCATGGAATGAGCAATGCTTCAAACTGCAGAGCAAGAGCGCCTCTGTGTGGTTCACACAGACAATGTGTTATGTAGAAGTTAAAGACATGGGAATTCCTGTATAATATGGGTCATATGAGAGAATCACTTATACAGTAATCATTTATATAAACTGAATAGACATTGTCTGGGGGAAAAAGACATCATCAGTTTGCCTCTAGAAATGCTGTACAACATCCCGCACTTTTTTGATGAATGATTTCTCTTGACCATTCCGTTGCTACTACATTTCTTTCTAGTGATTTCTGGGAGGTCAAATTCCAGTTGTATTTCAGGCAACACTACTTTAAATAATAACAATAATAAATATTATTATTATTGTCATCATTTTTTTTTTTAGCTAGCTTGTAATTACACCGTTGTTGTTTTTTCGGTTTAAGAGAGAGAGACTTTAAGGCTCTTTTATTTACAAACAGTTATAAAAAACAATGTATATTACATTACACAAGAAACATTACTTAAAAGACATATACCTACATACACATAAATAGGCTATATATAAAAATAAGTTTCAATTTATAACATTATATCATAACCACTCTCATCACTTGGTTGACAAAAAATACTTTCAGTACCCCAAAAAGAAAAGAAAAAAGAGTTTACAAAGTTTACTAAGATATTTGTTTTACTAATTCATAAAACTTATACTTAAACATTATTCTACTTTTTACCAAAGTCTTAAACATACAGTATGTAAAGGAGTTTTATTCTTCCTTGTCAGTCAAATTGCCCTTTTAGCCTTATAAAACAACAAATTAATTAACACTATTTTCTTTCAGTTTGAGGCACAAAATTTTGGTCAAAAAAACAAAAAGACCATTTGTAAAGAGAGGAGGATTCAACTGTGCCTTATATCTATTTGTTGCTATTATCCAATGTGAAATCCACCATTGTAAGTCTCCATTCCTTTTTTCAATTGGTTTCTTATATAAGGACCTCCAACTACCTTTTGGAGAGGTGCCTGACTCGACAACATCAGTCCACTTGGTCTCTGGAAGTTCTTTTAACGCTCTTATATTAAGAAATTTTACACAAACACAATAAAGTTATTTATTAGAAATAGTGTTTAAAAAAACAAGTTTAGGCATTAAAAGAGAGCAAACTTCCTTCAGCCTCCTGCCAATCTCCTACATCCACAGCCACACTGATCTTGGGGAATACATTCCAACTTTTAGCGGCAGAACAGGAAAAGATTCTTGAATATCAGCTAACAATTTTTGCACAGTTCCAACAGAACGGATACCAGTCTCTAAGGCCCGTTTTTCAGCAGTAATCCATTGGTCATTTAAAGGTGCAGTGTGGGATTTTTAGCGACATCTAGCGGTTCGGTTGCGAGTTTACACTAAGGGCTCAGCCCACCGCTCACCCCTCCCTTTCGAAGAAGCTACGGTGGCTAAAACGGGACAAACATCGTCGTCTGAGACAGCAGAGAATAGCCAGCGTAAACATAATATAATAATAGTAATCAGCTGATTGTCTCACGAACGTAACCAGCACATTCTCCCCACATAGCAAACCCATAATACAGCGAGGGAGAAGAACCACATGAAACTATGCAACTATATATTTTTTCTAACAGGGTAGTAAAAGTTTAGCTGGCTAATATGAGCTGTTACTGTGGCTGAGCTGGTTAAAGCGTAAAGCCTTGTTTAAACTCGACGCGTCCGCATGAGCCCACAGGTGCGTGCGGCAAAAATGACGTGATTGTAACAGCGCGCGCGCCTCCGCATCCCCTAGACACACTTACTACACACACAATAGGCTTTTTTTCTCTGATTTTGGAAACTCGATCGACTTAAAATGCTTCCAAGATCGACGGGTTGGTGATTCCTGTAACTGTTTTACGGTCAATGACAAGAGTAGCCTACTAATCAGCTGTCTCACGAACTTAACCAGCACATATCCCCACATAGCAAAGCCATAACACAGTGAGGGAGAAGAATTAAGTTACATGAAACAATCCAACTACATATTTACACCACTGACAAGGGAAAAGTCACTACTCACGGTGTTTATGACTAGCTTCTTCTAGCTTTCTGCTGCTTCTCTTTCAAGGTAGTGACGAAACGCGCTCTGTAGCGCTGTTTGTTCGCGTTCGGCTACTGTAGAAACATGACGTCACAATATGGCGACCTTCATAGAAGGGGATTCCCGCGCCTATGTAGATATAAATGCCTCATTCTAAGGTAATAAAAACATTACGGTTTATTAAGTAAGTTCTTTATACACCACTGAACACATAGTTATGGATGTCATATTGCATTTCTGTTAATAGATACTCAAAAATGTTACACATTGCACCTTTAACCCAAAATGGCAAATCTTATAAATTCCCGCTCCCACCAAGCTTGTGCACACGGTCTGTGATTCCAATATCACACTGGAGAGGTGAGAATTAAAAATTAAGGGTTCTTCGAGATGCCATTGAAGGTGTCTCAGAATCAATAAAAATCTGCCATGCATTAAACACTGAGGCATAAAAAGAAGAGAGTCCACTAAGATCCATCTCCTTTGAATTCATTAAAATTGTTCAGGGATAACTTGTAAAGGCATTTTTGTTTTATCATTACACCAAAATGCTTCTGTTTTACCCTAGTTGAGATGATGCTCTCTCATACAATCCAATACTGTAATTAATATCAATGTATTTTTTTCTTTTACAATTACAGTAATGTTATCTGCATACACAATCAGCTTAAAGGTGCAATGTGTAAAATTTTTGAGTATTAACAGAAATGCAATATGACATCCATAACTATGTTTTCAGTGGTGTATAAAGAACTTACTTAATAAACCGTAATGTTTTTATTACCTTAGAATGAGACATTTATATCTATATAACCGCGGGCACCCCCTTCTATGAAGGTCGCCATATTGTGACGTCATGTTTCTACCGTAGCCGACAGCGAACAAACAGCGCTACAGAGCGCGTTTCGTCACTTCCTTGAAAGAGAAGCAGCAGAAAGCTAGAAGCTAGCCATAAACACCGTGAGTAGTGACTTTTCCCTTGTCAGTGGTGTAAAATATGTAGCTGGATTGTTTCATGTAACTTAGTTCTTCTCCCTCGCTGTGTTATGGCTTTGCTATGTGGGGATAAATGTGCTGGTTACGTTCGTGAGACAGCTGATTAGTACTCTTGTCATTAACCGTAAAACAGTATGTTACAGGAATCACCAACCCGTCGATCGCGGTCGACAAGTCGATCTTGGAAGCATTTTAAGTTGATCGCGAAGAGTTTTCAAAATCAGAGAAAAAAAGCCTATTGTGTGTAGTAACTGGGGTCTAGGGGATGCAGAGGCGCGTGCTGTTACAATCATGCCATTTTTGCCGCGCGCACCTTTGGGCTCATGCGGACGCGTCGAGTTTAAACAGGGCTTTACGCTTTAACCAGCTCAGCCACAGTAACAGCTCATATTAGCCAGCTAAACTTTTACTACCCTGTTAGAAAAAATATATTGTTGCATAGTTGCATGTGGTTCTTCTCCCTCGCTGTATTATGGGTTTGCTATGTGGGGAGAAATGTGCTGGTTACGTTTGTGAGACAATCAGCTGATTACTATTATTATATTATGTTGTGGGATGTGTCTCCAATGTGTTTAGTTCAGGACAGCTCAGTGTGTGTGTGAACGAGAGTGAGTGCGCGTGTCCGAGGCGCGCGCGCCGCCCCTGTTGATTCCCCGTGAGGAGCGGATGAGAGTGTTGTGATAGTGATACAGCGACCGGTGCAGGTAGTTAGCGATTACAGTGTATTTTAGTGCAGCCAGCAAAATAAAGCACCTAAACTCTTCGGCAAGACGGCCTCTTTGTCATTTATATGCTACCATCACACTAAACAGCGTGAGGTTTAGGGAGTTAACCCCGGGAGGAAAACTACCGGCCCTGGAGAAGACGAATCTCCCCTGTGTCTCCCAACCACGGTTAGGAGACGGAAGCAGGAAAGGTTAACACTGGCGACCACGAAGGGACGGTCACGTTGTTAAAAGACTGGTGAGCATTGAAAATAGAAGGACAATAAAAAGTAAAGCCGAGTGACTGTAATACAACCTAAATAGCGGCGTGAATAAGCTAATACAAAATGGCGGCCGCTCGCTATCCCTCCGATGTTTACGGACGAGAAACCAACTACTCAAACCCGTTCATGTCGCTAACCAATGTGGAGGACAACAATCAAGTTACTGTGAAAGCTTACGAGCGCAAGGCTGAGAGAAAACGCGAACATTATAACCCATTCCTGTGTGATGAAAGTTGCACTGCCGCACTTTCTAATGGAGAAGATCTGTTCGCGCCGTTCGACAGCCCCGCCCATTTTTCACCCACAAATCCTTTTAGTAGAGGCAACAGTCAAAGCCACGGCTCCGTGAGAAGGCCAGACATGCACCTTTTCACATATCCCACTCCAGACATGCCATTTAAGGGGCACTATGAAGTCACAAATCCCTTTGCCAATGTTCACATGGGAAGTTTTGTACATAGCACACCAGCTATATCCAAACCCGAAGCCAGTACGTTTCCCATGCCATATTCTTCTATTAATCCAGACATGACTGTAAAACATGGACATTTTCCATTGCGCCAGGCCGGTCCCTCATCTCCAACACGTAAGAGCCGCTCTGCGCCCCGTCAGCCTCCTCTGTCGGACAGTGATGAGGACTATAACCCCAAAGAGAGAGTCCCCACTCTACGTCCCGGCCAGTACGACGGCAGCACACCGTGGAGAGAGTTTCTGCACAGGTTTGAGAGTTGCGCGGAGGCAAATCACTGGTCAGTCAAAACAATGGCTATTCAGCTGAAATTCTGCCTCACCGGAGCTGCAGGCGCCATCGTCCACAGAAACCCCCGTTCATCCAAATGGGACTACCGCCGCCTGCTGGAGGAACTCGAAACTGCTTATGGCCCTTCTTCAGATCATGCAGCGGCTGTAGCCATAGAGCTGAGGCAAAGAGTGCGTAAACCAGGTGAGGCGCTTCATGTGTTCAGGGATGACATTTATGGAAAAGTATCCATAGCTTATGGTGACTGGTCAGAGGCTGAGCAAGACGCTATAGCGGTTGAAGTTTTCACAAACGGCCTGGGTGATGCAGAGCTAGTTCAGAGACTGTTAGAAAACCGTCCAGCTACCCTAGCTAAAGCTTATGAGATAGCCCACCGTCATGACACTACCAAGAGAGCTGCTTCCTATGTCACCAACATCATGCAGCCAGGGGCCCGCAGCCTCATTGAACGCAGGCCCCGGGCCGCTGTTGTCAGAGAAAGAGACAAAACTGAGACTGTGACTACCACTACCTCTGCAGTTAGCCCATCACCCACTCACTTTGACGCGCGCACATCTGCAAAAACACCGAAGCCGCACAAGAACTTTAAAAGGGGTGACATTCGCTGCTATAACTGTAATGGTTGGGGTCACAAGCAGAGTCAGTGCTCATCCCCGCTACGGAATACAGAGACTTTCCGTTCAAAGGCCGCCAAAGGAAGCCCGCTGACCACTGTGTTCCACCTTAAAAGCCAGAGTCGTGAAATGAACATTCACATGCGCATATCTGAGCTGGAGGTATGTGCAGTCCTGGACAGTGGAGCGCGGAGGAGCGTGCTGCCCCTTCACCAATACAACGCCATTCACCAAGATGTAAGACCACCGCTTCAGTCATCCATCGTTGAGACTTTGCTCGGGGTGGGACCAGGGGACGTGCCAGTGCTTGGTGAGGCCAAGGTACCGGTCAGTATCAACAACCGTCAAGTTGAGGTGGACTTCCTTGTAGCGGACATAGAGGGCAATGAGGTGCTGCTTGGCCATCCTTTCCTCACCCAAGCTGAGGCCCGCCTTGATTTCGGTAAGCACCGCATAATTCTGTTTGGAGAAGAAGTGCCCTACTTTCACCCAGAGACTGTTCCAAAGTCACACGCTGTAAGAGTTGCCAGAACTGTTGTGGTTGAAGCGGGACAAGAGTACCTAGTCAAGGGCAATGTGCACTTTTGCAGAGAAGCCCAGGGAGACATGATGCTTAGCCCCACAAAAGGCTTTGTTGAAAAGCACAAAGTACTCATTGCCAGAGCCCTAGTCAATGCACAGCCCACCAACATCGTTCCATTACGCCTCTTTAACCCTGGCAACAAGGCTGTGACTATTAAAGAAGGTGCCATTGCAGGTCTCCTCCAGCCAGCTGAAGCTCTGTCCTCGTCCAGTGTTCCCACAGCGGCAGACTTTCCAGCCAGCCTCCCTGCAGTTCCAGAGCACCTCCAGGAGCTCTATGCCCAGAGTTCCACTGACTTTAATGACAATGAAAAACTTGAATTATCTAACCTGTTGTGTGTCTATGAAAGTGTCTTTTCCAGGGGACCTGGTGATCTGGGCCGGACCAGTCTTGTGCAGCATGACATCATAACCCGGCCGGGACCTCCAGTGAAGCAGCCTCCTCGTCGTATGGCTGGGGAAAAGCAGCGAAGCGCAGAACAGCAGATCAGTGAGGGCCTCCAGAGCGGCATCGCCACACGCAGCCACAGCAGTTGGGCCTCGCCGATCGTTATGGTGCGTAAAAAGGATGGGACTTATCGCCTTTGTATAGACTACAGGGCACTCAACAGCCACACCATCACTGACGCGTACCCGCTACCCCGCATCCAAGACACGCTGGACACTCTCGCCACAGCCAAATGGTTCAGCACTTTGGATCTTGCTGCAGGTTACTGGCAAGTTGAGCTAACACCAAGAGCCCGCCGCGCAGCCGCCTTTTGCACCCGTAATGGACTATTTGAATGGAACGTTATGCCATTCGGGTTATGTAACGCGCCGGCGACGTTCCAACGCCTTATGGACCGCGTCCTTGCCGGCATGCAGTGGGAGACCTGTCTCGTCTACCTGGACGACATCATCGTGCTGGCCAAGAATGTGCCCGAGATGCTGCAGCGACTGAGCCAAGTGTTCCAGAGACTTAAACAGGCAAATCTCAAACTGAAACCAGCCAAATGCTGCCTGTTCCGCCGCCAAGTTGCCTATCTAGGTCATATTGTGTCTGAGCACGGTGTGGCCACTGACCCCAATAAAGTCAGCAAAGTCAAAGCCTGGCCCACTCCCACATCAGTTCAAGAGGTCAGACGTTTCATTGGCCTCGCCTCCTACTATCGCAGGTTTGTGAAAGACTTTGCCTCCATTGCCGAACCGATACATAACCTGACTAAGAAGAATGCACACTTCCAGTGGCACGCTGAACACCAAGCCGCCTTTGACACGCTCAAGCACCGCCTTACCACAGCCCCTGTCTTAGGCTATCCACTGGACCATGGTGAAATGATCCTGGACACCGATGCCAGCGACACCGGTATCGGCGCGGTCCTGTCGCAAATGCAGGGTGGCACAGAACGCGTGTTGGCATACGGCAGCCGCAAACTAGCCAAAGCTGAACAGAACTATTGCACTACGAGACGGGAGTTGCTAGCCATTGTCGATTTCACATCGCATTTTCGGCAGTACCTACTTGGGAGGCCTTTCAAGGTACGAACCGACCACAGCAGCCTGCGCTGGCTCACGCGCATGAAAGAGCCGGAAGGTCAGTTAGCCCGGTGGCTTGAGAAGCTAGCGGAGTATGAGTTCGAAATCATCCATCGCCCAGGTCGCTTACACACGAATGCTGACAGTCTCTCCCGCAGGCCCTGCCGCCAGTCCTGTCCTTGTAATCTGCAGGATCCTTCCTTGCAGCAGAGAACCATGAGTCACCAGGCAATTCAGTGTGATTTGGACTCTGACATCAGCTCCCTGTTGCTGAGTCCGGTGGGGGTAAGCGCTGGTAATGTTAGCAACACAGACACTTTAAAACAAACAGAGATTATTTATGTGACAAACACAAACGAGATCAGACTGTTTCCTGGCTGGACTTTGGAGGAGTTGCGCCAGGCTCAAGCTGCTGATACAGACATTGCACCAATCAGAGCTTGGTTAGGGGTCAGCAGTGAGCGGCCCCCGTGGGTCACAGTCTCCCCATGCAGCCCAGCCACCAAAACGTACTGGAGTCAATGGAGAAGACTGTACTTCAGAGATGGAGTACTGGTCCGCCGCTTTTACTGTTTAGACGATACACAGTTCTATCCTCAAATTGTTCTCCCGCGCAAGATGCAACCCGATGTTATGCGCCAAATGCATGAAGGGCCAGTAGGTGGACATTTTGGTATTGAAAGGACGGTGGCCAGACTTCAAACCAGATACTACTGGTACCACATGAGAGAAGATGTGGCCCTCTGGTGCCGGACTTGTACAAATTGCGCATGCAGAGCCAGACCCCACAAGACTCCACAAGCGCCTATGGGAACTGTCAGAGTTGGAGCCCCCATGGAGCGCATTGCACTGGACATTATGGGCCCACTCAATGAGACAGAGCGTAAGAACAGTTATATACTCGTAATACAGGAGTATTTCACAAAATGGACTGAAGCATTCGCAATCCCTGACGAAAAGGCTGTGACAGTGGCAAACGTTGTGGCAACTGAATGGGTGTGTCGCTTTGGAATGCCTCACTCTCTGCACAGCGATCAAGGACGCAATTTTGAATCAGGGGTATTCCAAGAAATGTGCCGTTTGTTTGGCATCGACAAAACCCACACTACACCATTCAGACCGCAGTCCGACGGCCAAGTTGAACGTTTCAACGCCACACTACAAAAGATCCTGGCCTCTACTGCAGAGCACTGTCACTGGGATTGGGACCTGATGATCCCATATGCAGTTATGGCCTACAGAGCGACCAAGCACAGCGCTACTGGTTTCACCCCCAACTTCATGATGTTCGGCCGTGAAATAAGTGAGCCAGTGGACCTTGTGGCTGGTTTGCCCCCTGACTCTGAACATGCAACTTCAGCCTCTGAGTATGTGCAACAAATGCGTGAGCGGTTGGAACTGGCTCATAACATCACCCGAGAAGCCCTCGGTGAGTCAGTCACACGTGCAAAAAGACAATACGACAAAAACGCTTGCCACACACAGTACAAAGTCGGCGATGCGGTGTGGTATCTTATCAAAGGAACACGTCATGTCCGAAACAAAGTTAAAAAGTTCCTCCCCTCCTACGAAGGACCCTACTTTGTTATGGGACATTTAGACGACTTAGTCTACCGGATCCAAAAGGGTCCCAGAGCTAAGGTCAAAGTCGTCCACCATGATCAACTCAAATGCTACCGCAGCCGTGAGCCCCTGGACAACACCTGGGTCCTGGACCAATCCCAGAACTGGACGCCTTCTGAGATCCTGCCACCGGATGTGGACGGGCACCCAGCAGACCGTGAGGATCTCGGCCTGCACAGCCTCTACTCTACTGCCTCGAGTGATGGCCCCAGCGACTCCTGGCCGTCCACTCCACCTGCTACTAATTCTCACATTATCGGGTCTCTTCCATCCACTCCTTCCCATGTGATACTTGGCCATGGTGGGGGTGCGGTGGGAGATCCACACCACCAGTCTCCGCGTGAACCTCGGCCCCAACGTCAGCGCCGAGGACCGCTCCGGTATGGGGACTGGGTCACTGAGTGAGTCACCTATGACAGTTCATATTTGCACTAGAGACTTTACAGTTTACGTTTTTGGACTCTAGTCTAGTTTGTTCTATACTTTTTCTACAAAAAGCACTTTTGCACGTTTAAAAAAAAAAAAACTGAAGAGCTTTTCAATGCTTTTACATGCTTGCACTTTATTGCATTCAATGTATGATTTGATTATTACCAGATTAGTCCGACAGTATTACCTCTGGTCACCGAAGAATAGGATTTAAAAGGTGATGTACTCTTATGTTTTATTAGAGACTATTGCATTTCTATTATTTTTCTTTTCACTCCTGTGTTCACTGTTGAATGAGCTTTAGAACTTTTAACATTGTTTAGACACTTGTTAAATTGATATATCCTATCTGTTTGGATTTACATACTATTTGGAACACAGCTGTCTCTTCACATTTTAGGCCTACAGATATAGAGAGTGTGTGCTAAGTATGTTTAAATGGAATGGAATTAGTGTTAATTGCCAGTCCATGGTGGGGGTAGTGTTGTGGGATGTGTCTCCAATGTGTTTAGTTCAGGACAGCTCAGTGTGTGTGTGAACGAGAGTGAGTGCGCGTGTCCGAGGCGCGCGCGCCGCCCCTGTTGATTCCCCGTGAGGAGCGGATGAGAGTGTTGTGATAGTGATACAGCGACCGGTGCAGGTAGTTAGCGATTACAGTGTATTTTAGTGCAGCCAGCAAAATAAAGCACCTAAACTCTTCGGCAAGACGGCCTCTTTGTCATTTATATGCTACCATCACACTAAACAGCGTGAGGTTTAGGGAGTTAACCCCGGGAGGAAAACTACCGGCCCTGGAGAAGACGAATCTCCCCTGTGTCTCCCAACCACGGTTAGGAGACGGAAGCAGGAAAGGTTAACAATTATATATTAAGACCCTTGATCACCTGACTATGGCTTTGTAAACTTTATCCATGATGTGGTTTTTAATGGACTGTGGTACAGAAACAGTGACAATGTTACACACTCTTGGCTTACTCTGGCTATTCTCTGCGGTCTCAGACGACGATATGTTTGTCCTGTTTTAGCCACCGTAGCTTCTTCGAAAGGGAGGGGTGAGCACTGGGCTGAGCCCTTAGTGCAACTCGCAACCGAACCGCTAAATGTCGCTAAAAAATACACACTGCACCTTTAAAAGAACGAGTATCATCACCAACCCTTAAGCCAGACAGACCTTTAGACAACAGTGGTTCCCCCGCTAAAGCATATAGCTGACCTGGCAGTGGACACCCTTGTCTAATACCCTTACATATTCTTATTGGTTGACTTAAACCACCACCAATTTTTAAAACAAAATATGAATTCATTAACAAGAGTTTGATCCAAGAAATAAAAACTTTTCAAAAGCATGCATCATTTAAAGCAAGTCAAGGCTTTTTCCTGATCCAGAAACAAAAAATCTACATCCACTTCATAAAGTCCAAAACATCTCTGATCAGAAAAAAAATATCATATATTGTTCTTTCTGGAATACAATAGGACTGATCTTTGATGTGTGTATATATATATATATATATATATATATATACACTGTGTATGTGTGTGTACTTGTACAACTATCTTTGTGAGGACCGGATTGAGTTTTAACACACTATTGCAGTGCAGTACTACAGTAGTCAACATTTGAAGTGGATCAAAAAAGTTGTCCTAAGACAAGAATGGGTATTGTTCAAAATGCATGCATAACTTTGATGAAAGGTTTTGATCCACTTCAAATGTTGACTACTGTACATCGACAGTGTAAAAATGTGTAACCAGTTAATATGGGCACAAAACGTGTTCTGCCCATGCTAGGTGTGTAAAAGAGGCCTCAAAAGATAACGTACAACAAAGAAAAATCTAATAAAATCAGAAAAGGGGCATAAAGAACACAGCAGCAGTTTAAGATGTTTATTTTAAAAATAACTTGAGTACAAAACATACATAAAAAATGTATATCGGAGAAAAAAAAAGTCTTAAACTTAAGACATCATACATTACATTCAAACATCACCTGCATTCAGGTGAGAGGACTTTGTAGATCCTTTAGTGTTTCATTTCTTGATTTTAATCACTGCATTGGCACAAAACTCCACTTTCAAGACACTTGTAACAATAAAGCCTCTCTGGTGATCAAATCTTCAGCGTTCTCAGAACATCTAGTGAAATTAAGAGTTGGCTTCGGGACCATACTGAAAATGGTCAAAATGGAATCTGTTTGAATCAGTGAGGCCTTAGAAACTAGAATCAGGTTTTCATGCAAAAATGTATGAAGTGTATTATGGAACAAAAATATTTTTGTGTGACATGTTTTGTACAAGCATGGTGAGCTTCATGGCAATTTTCTTTTTAAATAAAATAAAATAAATATACTAGGTGGACGCAGAGTCGCCATCTTGTGGTAAAATAGAAAGTCCGAGAAGACCACATTTTGATTATTACATGCATCTGAGGGTGGGGGGAAAAAGTGAAATGCAAGAGAATATGGAACTGATAAAAAACTCTTTAAATTGTAGAAAAATAGTATGTCCTTAATCAGGAGATCACCAGAAAATACTAATTGGTTAATCAAGATATTCAAGTAATTCACCAGATACTTTTTAAAGTGTTAAATAAATTACACGCAACATGGATGGCAGTATACAAGTCTGAGAGGGGAGATGATTTTGATACAGAGCAAATGTTAAGTTACAAACTTAAGTGCATGCCTGAAAGGCCAGCAGATAGCAAGTAATATGTAGTATACACAAGATTTTAACATGCACAAAACCACAATCCCAACAATAAAACTGGTTGTGATATGGATTTGAACATGATAAAATAACATGTACATACAAAGTAATCCATAGTGTAATGTCAATTTAAGAAAATTAAAATTGAACTAAAATAAAATAAAAATATTGCACAAAGATAGTATATTACGTAAAGATTTACAGTACAAAAGCAATCACAGCCTAGCGGTACCGCAACAAGATTTCTGTTATCAAAAATATTCTGAAAAACAATAAATGAGAAATTAACTAAAAGTATCAGTAAACAAAAAAAGGTATTAGACACTGTCATACGAAGAAAACAAAAAGTAAGTAGGAATATGTACAAATGAAAACAGGAACATTTAAATGTGTAGTCACAGGAAGAGCACTAGACAAAACAAATCAAAGTGCAATTTCAGACGGTGCCCATCTTAAACAGAAGTGTTACCTTTGACCTAGAAAAACAAAGGTATGTGGCCCACATTCTTTGTCTTGGGCAGAAGTGGAAGTGGTAGACAAGTGGTTGGCACTATCTGCTGAGGCTCATGGGAACAGTGTCCCTTCGACGCCGACGCCAGCTGTTACGGCCATACTGAGGATGATGTCCTCTGGGAACATGCACGATGTTACGCTCTAAACAATTAGTGTGTGGAGGCCCCTTGAACCTCTGGCCATTCTGAAACAATACATACAAGTATTTTAAGTGTGATACCAGCCAGCAGCAAGCATTTATCAATACTTTAGGCAACACAAACAACCTAAGTTGACTGATAAAAATGAAACTAGAACGGTCCATATATTCAATGTAACTTAACTATTACAGAAAATAGATTTAACTGCAAACTTTTAATGCATTAACATTCTGTTAAGGACTGAAAACAACATCAAACTCTACATCCATCAGTCTGTAACTAAATAGCAGCATTTTGTTTGGGTCAGGTTCCAAAATTTGAGTCCTGGTAATTTAAAGCAGCTCTTTGTCGCCATCTCTGTTCGAAATCTGCAATTGCAGTTATTCGCGGAATTATCAACTTTACGCAAGTTGTACTTCGACACGACACAGCGCGGATGAACACAATGCTTGAGGAGAGTGTGCAGCTGTCAATCACCGTGCCGGTGTGGATACTGGCATTCAGAATCACATATTCTTTTTGGAAGTATGTTACCAACATAATAATTTTCACTGGAAAATGTCATCTGAACAAGTAAGTAACATACACTTTTGTTCTGGTTCTGACATTGCAGTAAATCGCGCTGATTAAATCTAAAAATCGCTTATATCACGCAAAACCATGCAAATTATACTTTCTCAAATTGTTAATGTTAACAACGTCAGCATTGCGTGACTACATGTAATGTCCTTCCGATATGTATCCTTGTTTTCGCATGGGTCCGGTTGTAGTCTCTTTTTTCTTTAAGTTAGCCACTCCGAAGTCCGAACAAAGTCTTTTGCATTTTACAACGGGTTAGTCTCCAGTTGTCACTGGTGATTGTCGTTTGAACCTTTCTGGATCCGCCATCAAATTGATAAGTTTAATTATATCAAGTGCTGTGAGAAAAGGCTATAAATCTCCACCTCCAGCATCCTCACACGCAATATAGCCTACTAGCCGAGACTCCTTTATGTGTACAGATGTGACGTAATGACACAAAGACATGCTCGAATCTCCCGCGGAAATCCACCAGTACCACTGGAATTAAAAACATTATTACAAGTTTACTGCTTTGAATCGAGCTAAGGCAAGCAGATAGTTTTGAACACTGGCTGGTTATGTATTTTCTCATATGTTTTTTTGGATCATTTTTAACCCAAAAAAAGCTACGGACTGAAGATTTAATACCAATATTTACTTCCAGTAGCATGTCTATGAAAAATAACACAATTTGGTAACGCTTCATTTTACAGTACAGTACTTACGTGTACTTACAGTGTACTTACCTAGAAAGTACTGGCTAATATAAGGTAAGTACATGGGTTAGGGGTAGGTTCAGGGTTAGTACCTAGTTATTACCCAGTAATTGTAATTACTATAATAAGTATATAGTAAGTACATGGGTAACAGGACTGTAAAAGGAAGCGTTACCCACAATTTGTAGTCCCAATTTACATCAAACACTGCCTTGTTTTTTTATGAACTACTTGGTAATTTGATCTTTGTCAATGGGATATTTGAAGAGGGGGGGAGAGAGAAAACGAGTAGTTTAAAACCCTTACAAACAAGCAAATACCCAAACATTAATATGATCTAGGAATTTAATATGATCATACTTGTCCCTTACATTAGTGTAGTGACTCTGGCTGGGTATTGAGCTGGAGTAAACAGGAGACAAATGGAGTACTCCATTCATATGAGTCAAACCATCCATACACTGTTTGCTGGGTAATGGGTGTGACTGAAACAGGAAGAGGGAATACAAAACAGTGCATGGGTAAATACAACCACAACTGGAATTCCACTGGGCAACTTAAAACAAGCAAAAATGTATTTTGTCAGAACATAAGGACTCCTTTGAATGGCCGTTAAAGGAGGAAGATGCTCAAATAAATAACCCGTTCTGCCACCGCTTAAAATGTAGACGACTCCAAGATAAGAGCAGTTCTTTTAAAAACATGGTGGATGATGTGAGTCGAGTTGCTGAATCAGTGTTGCTGAACCAATATGTCTATCAGCAATGCTGATAGACATATTGGCTGCATCCGAAAGCTGAAAAATGCTGTCTCCACAGGCAAGATAAGGAGGTAGGAAAGCAACAAGACACGTCCAAATCCAATAGTCATGCCACATTCTGTCTACTAAGATACCTTCTTTTGATAGATCAAGGCAGCATAGATGTATCCTTCGATATCCCACACTACTGTGCATTTAATTCTATGACAGTTTAGCAAAAATAAACATGGCGTCTGAAAGTTGTGGTTGGTGGTCAGTTTGTGTGTAAATGTGCATTTGTGACCGACTGTTTCCACTTTTGATGTAATTTCTAGTGAGAAATTTGTATTTTGTGTTGATGTGTTTTCATCAAAGCTTTCTCCATTTTGTTGCCTCAGAAGTCTGTCCAAAATCAGTTAGGTGCCTTTGTGCGCAAAAGCTGCCTGCAAAGTCATTGCCTGATAGGGCAGCGAGGCATCAAGTCAGCTGCCTAAGCTTTCGGGCGCAGCCATCGACTTCCTCTCATTCTCTAATGACTGGGCAAATTAAATAAAAATCAGAGGAATGTTGGCCTTACTTGACATCCAGAGTGCAGAAAAGTTCCAGATGAGTTTGCTTTTATCTGTGGTTTCTGATTGGTATCAGTCATGCAGGACATTGGAAAGAATTCATGAAGAACTGAAGCTTTGCACGGCGTGTCAGAATCCTGGTAGAGAAAGAGATGAAGAGAGAGATAAAGAAAATACAACCTCAAATGGCAGATGTAAATGTAGAAAGTCCAAATGTAATGACAGCAAACTTAAAGGGTTAGTTCACCCAAAAATGAAAATTCTGTCATCATTTACTCACCCTCAAGTTGTTCCAAGCCTGAATGAACTTCTTTCTGAACAAAAAAGACATATGGAAGAATATGGGTAACCAAACAGTTGATGGGCCCCAATGGCTTCCATAGTATTTTTTTTTTTTCTCATACTATGGAAGTCAATGGGGTCCATCTTTGGTGGCCATTGGGTCTGTGAAAACGCTATATAAATGCAGTCCATTTACCATCAACTGTTTGGTTATAGACATTCTTCAAAATATCTTTGTTTGTGTTCAGCAGAAGAAAGAAATGTATACAAGTTTGGAACAACTTGAGGGTGAGTAATTGATGACAGAAATTTCATAAGGGGTAAACTATCTCTTTAATGGTTTTGTATGGATTGACTTATTGGATTTAATGCAGAAGTGTACTGACAGTGCCTTTAATGAATTCTCTTGCAAACTCATATCTAGTTCTCTTCAAGAAACTACACCAGGAACTTACAACGTCACTCCCAGACAGTGAGGACACAGAGGAAGATGATGAAGAGTGCTGTTGAAGGCTGGACAGGGACACAGGTGAACCAGCACTGAGTGGTGATGAGGAGTCTCTCTGCTGCTTCTCACTTGAGGTCTTCTCCAAGTCTACAACATTCTGGACTAAAATGACCAGAAACATTGTCAAAATCAACTTGGCCTTCATCCTCAAAGCATAAAAAAATTATTATAATAATTTGTGATTCAAATGACTTACTTTTAATGTCAATCATCTTGGCATTGTGTCTGTTCCCCCACTGCTGAATGATCCACTCCCTGTAGCTAATTACTCCCTGGGTCACTTTAATGATACGTCCCAATGTGCTTAAGATTGAAAGTGTAAAAAATTATTTCTCCAACAAAATGAGGCTGACAGATTTCAGTGCACGGAAAAGTTAATCATGTTAAAGAACCAAAAACTCATTTGTGAAGGGAAACAAGATATTGAACAACATTGGTAGTTACTGTATATATAGTACAATATTATAGTAATAATTCTTTAACCTACATAATAGCAATGGAAATCATTTTTGCATTAAGCATAATGTAGCAGTGACATCACAGGACTGAATGGATGAACGAACATGGTAGTTTCACATAAATATAAAAAGATATAATAATAATAATAAGTAAAATAATATAAACAATTGTTGACTAAATGTATGTAATTTATGTACAGTTGTAATTTCATGACCACGCAGACCCCAATGAGATCATGCAAATATTTAAATGGGCCCTGGGAATCGAACCCATGACCTTGGCGTTGCAAGCGCCAACACTCTACTGTTTGAGCTACAGGAAAGCCGATCTCTTTTAAGATCTCTTTATGAAATATCAAGCACCTAAGTTTTGGTAAAATGGACTTTCAATGGAGGGACAGAAATCTCAGGTTTCATTCAAAATATCTTCATTTTAGTTCCGAAGATGAATGCAAGTATTGAAACATGAGGGTGAGTTAATCATGGCATATTCCTTTTGTTGGGTGAACTAACCCTTTAAGTCTTTAAAATGTCATTGGCTAAAAATATTCAAGCAGCACAGAAATGGTTGTGGCTGCAATTTTAATTTAAGAGCAATAGTTGGACTCATCTGGGACTAACCTTTCCATATTTCTGTTGGGGTAGGAGCGGGATAGTGGAGATACAGTGTGACTCAAGATGAGGTATGCATAGTTAAACACCTCCTTCACCTGCATGGCACCGTAAGAGCTCCGGCCGACATCATTTCCTAACAAACAGAGAATAATTTGTTCAAATGCTTAAGGTTAGTTTAATTTCAATTCAATTTGCATTAACAGCTTTTCAAACTATGCTTTTTTTTCTGTAGCTGTACTCTGTGCCACTTGCATTTTTGATTGTGACATCTAGATCATCAAGAATAAATCTCAAAAAAGTCAATACATTTGACCGACTAGTTTCCATCATTGCAAGGGGATAAAACTGGTTGATCTATAGTGGTTTGCCCTCATACCTGGTAAGTTTGGGTCCTCAATACAGAGCATTGAGGGTCTGTATGTATTCTCCATGACCTTCATGATCTCCTCTTTGGCCAGATACGCTCCTCCATCCTTCACACGGATGCCTGTTTTCAGATAATTAAAATGCCGTCCATACAATTCGAAGAATTCAATGAGCAGGATGCCCAAATTTATATTAGAAGCTCTGCAGTCTATTCTGGGATGGAGCTGAAACAAACAAAAGACAATTTCTGTTTATTGTAACAATTAAATGACCAAATCAATCATTTGTTTTAAATATCTGATCAATCATGAACGTCAAGGTTCCCAATGGATAAATACCATTATAATATTACAGTCAAATGGCTCAATGCAAAATGAGGATAAATGGTATCAATTAGTAGGAGACTGACACCGGCTGGAAAACGACATGCATAAAAGCACAACACAAAGATACCGGGCAACTCTTCAGGTGCCTCACCTGCAAGAAGCTGATGGCCATTAAAATGAGGCTGTAGGAACTGATACCACCCGTAAACACCTCGTTCAGATCTCTCTGGAGCAGAAACTGCTTCAGCACAAAGATCAGGTATGGCAACACTGAGTATTTCTGTATTTAAAAGAGGAAATCAAAGAATGGCAGCACATAGTGGGTTCACTCAGAAACATTTATATTTTCATATTTGGCCAGGATATGGCTACCGGTACATTAATCATTCAATATCAATGAAAATCAGTTCTTAACACAAGATTCAGTGGCTACATGTTTTCAGTTCAACAGCATCAAATCAAGCACTTAATGTGGGCTCAACGTGCTCATTTAAATGAATTAAAGCAAGCTCTCACCTTAAGATGATCCTTGATAAACCGAGCTGCTTTGACACCAGTTTCAACATTAAAGCTGATGTCTACCTTCACATCTGTCTCTCTGTCAGTCAGTTTAATTATTGGTACCTGTACAGAAAAAGACTGATTACTAAAATGATTCCTCTTAGTATTTGGAAAGATGGCCATTATTAGTATTGAAATTATTACTGTTATTTTTTTACAAATCACCAGCAAACCAAAAAAAAAAAAAAAAAAAAAAAATGTCCCTGTGTACTTTCACATCAATAGCAGCCCTGATTGCAAGCGTAGAGATTCTGTCTAAGTGCAATTATGAAACTAATATGTAGCTCTGTACAGAATCTGCACTTGAATGCCATTGTCATTCACAATCATCCCCCACATTGCTTACATGTTCATTAATTTGTTGTTTAACTTCATAAAAGATTTTAAAATGGTTGATATGAGAAATCAAAAATGCAAGAACTTGACATACTACTACGACAACAAACGTTGATACTTTAACTTTCAGAACTCAAAATTCAAAAGTCCAAAAAGTTAAAATGAACAAGCTGCAAAGACTCAGGCACAACTATGCAGTACAAAACATGCATTTAATAGGTCCCTGATCATTTCAGTCTGAACTCGGCAAGGACTATACCAGGTGCTCACTGAACAACAAGGCTGAGAATGACTAACCGTAGCCTTGTCAAGTAGTTTGATTGAGAAGGGCTCAGCAACGTTGTTCTGCCTGAGGGCCTGGTCCAGCTGCTGCAGGGGTGCTTGTTCCCATTTTCCAAACACCACCAGGTCAATATCACTACATAATGCAATTAGGGACAAAAATCACACAATATCAATAAAATAATTCCATTTAACACTGCAAATTCAAACATATGTAAACAATAATATACAATACCTGGTAGGGAGATAAAGTCCTGTACTGAAGCTGCCAAATATTTCAACCTGAAAGATGAAATGGCACTTTAAAAAGACCTGGCAATCAACTAGTATGTGCAGTTTACACTGCAATCTTTGACAGACACTCAAAAGAAAAGCAAAGACTGAATGTCACCTCTCCTTCTTAAGATCTTAAGATGAATTTGTAGGTCTTCTGTACTAGACCTGAGAGTATTGTACTTAAGGAATGCATGTATATGAGGTAATAATTCTTCACTGAAAAAGTACTGACTCCCCAACACATTGTATATGGGTTGAGGAAGTGATGCATTACATTCGGTTTTAAAAGAGCAAATTCAGGGTCCATTTTGGTGGTCCAAATTTTTTTAAACCTGGTCACCTTTCCTAATATACTTTGATGACTTGGTTTTCTGAGGTAGGGGTTACCTAAATATCTGAACAGAAGAGGACCTCAAGTCTTTTTAGACCTTTAATGAATCTTTGTGTTTGCCATCTACGGTCTCTGTTAGTTGCCTTGAAGATGGATTGTTTGTCAGAATGTCAGAGCCGCATGGGGTAAAGTAAATGTACGCCAATGTCAAACAGCAACATGTTATCTCTCTGTGCTGGACTCACCTTTGCTGTAGGCCACAGATTTTTGATTACAGCTTCAATACGATTGACAACATCTCTCCTCATTGCTTCCTCTTCTGGGCGTGGGGACATGAAATGATAAAAATCCACAATCTCCTCATGCAGGCTGGGGAAGATAAACATCACAATCCTTACAACAACTTGCTTACAATTGAAGACGTACGATATGAATAACATGAAACTGGAGCTGTATGAACAGACACCAGGTAAAATCTCAGAACATAACTAAATGTATACAGCATTAGTGCAAAACGGCAAAAAAAAAAAAACTTCCTTATCTTGTGTGCATCTGATCTCATAATAGGCATATGCCGGGGTTGTAAGTAAATGCGCAAGACTGTCTCAGGTCAGTAAAGTTCCTTAATGCACACTAAATCCACACTTTAGAGAGGTATTTGAGGGTAAGTGAAGTGCATGCGATAATACATTAAGGAACTCATGTGCCCTAAAATTGCATAATGTCGAGAAATACTTTACAGTGCAAGTTAAATTAGTTCTTGCATTTAATTCAGTAGCAAAACATTAAGTGTTGCCCACTTTATTGGTACACAGTTTGTCTATTTTTTACAATTACTAAATTCTGTTTTCAGAGACTACTGAAAACATATGTAGTTTATTTTAAAAATGTAAAGTATTGAAAATTAAAATAAAAGTAATAAAGTGTAAATAAAGCTCTGCAAAACATTACTGTACAATGTTGTAAATGTGTTACATCAGGAAATCAAAAGTTATTGTGGTCTTCATGCTTACTTGAACACCTGGACCAAATACAGGAAATACATCAAGCAAGTAGACAAATGGTCAAGTGCAAAGACCACAAGTGTGGCTATTGGGACAGGACCAGAGATGTTTCTGCCAGAAAACAATGCCATAATAATGAATAAGTGATGTTCATACAGGTTTGTGAAGGGTGTGTATGTGCATGAAAAAAGACCAATCACTAAAGTAATGGAAAGGTGTGGAGAAAGCTGCTTACTCAACACAACTTGTATAAGGGTTGAGTACAATGCTAAATGTAAATGTCACTTTTGTGTCTTAAGCAGTTCTCTCGCAATAACAGACTTTCTGCATATGTGCGTTTAAACATACTCATTTAGTCTGAGATGACCTTGAGAACCAGATCGTGAACAAGTTCCACATTAATTAAAAATTTACACCATTTAAGCTATGTTGTTAGGTGCAAGTAAATACACAAAGTAAATTTGTAATATTTAATCAAAATCAGAAAATCTGCTTCGTCTCTAGAATGACATCGTTTGACAGCTTGGGTTTGAACCAAACATCTGTTTGAAAATCTTTTAACCACAGAGAGATTGTGAGGATTATGAGGACTATTTTTCCTAAGAAAAGTTTACATTTTTGTGCAGTGGAATAAATTGATATTGTGGGAAAAAGCTAACTCAATTCCTAACTCCGTTTAGGAATCCAAAAGCTCACATAGAGAGCTAGGGTGGATATCAAGAATATGGAAAAAGTGGCCAGGACATTCTACAAAAGTAAAAAATAAAATCAGTTTTCATTTTTGAATTAACCATTTCAGTAACACTTTACAATAAGGTATCATTTGTTAACATTAGTTAATGTATTAACGAACACAAACTAACAATGATCAATAATTTTTTTTTACAGTATTTATGAATCTTTATTAATGTTAGTTCATAAAAATCTGGTTGTTCATTGTTAGTTCATGTTAGTACCAAAACCATTGTGGGTTGTGAAAGAAAGGTAATGCAACTGTGGTTATATGAGGAAAAAAACATTCATATTTTCACTGTAAGCCCTGTGACCCTCTAAATATAGAATCAAAAGATATTTCAGTATTTCAAAAGTGATGAACTAATACAGACCTGCATCAATGGCAAATATATTACATCGTGACCTTTGAGAAAAAGTTTTCCTTAATTGATCATCATAGTTTTCCTTGTAATAGTTATATGCTTATAAACACATTCAGTTCCAAGGACTTTAAGCTTGTTTGTCTGGCTCATCAGTTTGTCACATTGCTTTGGACTTGTGGGCTCAGTTAACACCACAGACCAAATGTTAGTTAGTTACTTAAATACATTTTACTTCTGGTTTATAGTATTTCAAACAAAATGCCGATCTGGCTCAGCAGTTATTATAGACATCTAAACAGCAAGAACTAAGCAAGTACCCTAGTCCCTTTTTCCCACCAACACGCCAAAGGCCGATGCACAACTAACTGACATCACTAATCAACCTACTAACACTAAGCAAAGTTAAAGAAGCAAATAAACTACAGTGAAAAGCGTCACCCAATATTAATGAAAGTACTCTTACCCATTAATACCTAGACTGTATCTTCTGGTTGCCCATGGGGTCCCACTTAAATAACTGTCATTAGAGTGGGACAGAAAGTGGTTCATTCCATGTGTGCTCGCTTTATTGCCATGTCGCTTTCGTTCTGCATGGTGTTTAAGCTGGTTGTCCATCATTATTTGAGTCTGTAGCCGCTGATAATGTTGTTGTTGTAAACAATTATTGACATTATGCATATGTTCAGTGAAGTTAAAGAGAATTTTGGCTGGATTTGAGCTCATACCGTCACCAGTAGTAGATGATGAATCTGATGTCGGACTGTCACTTTCGGAATCCGCTGAAGATTGAGGTGATAAAGAATCACAGCCGTTGACCTCGACAGGGGTGACATAAAGAGGTGCAGGACCAGAACATGCGTATGGAGATCTCATGGCACCACCATCATTGCAAGGCTGTTTGGTGAAATTGTTAATAGGTTTTAAAACTGTGTTGGTGTGAACCAGCGTTAACTGCTTCATGAAACCGGCCGCCAACGCAGGTGTGTTCACCCGCAGCGGGTGACAGTGGTTTCGCCTTTGCGAGGTTTCCCATACGCGCATCCATAAAGCGTTGGCAGGTCCTTTCTGTTCGGGCTGAATCCAAGCCACCCGAGGATCCATCTAACTTTACCGTTACAAATCTCCCAAACACTCTCTCGCATAAGGGCAGACAGGCACCCACAAGAGCTACAAGACTCACGTGAATGTGTGAGAAGCTGAGTAGAAGTTTAAAAATCCCGGGAAAGGCTGAAGAAACCGAGATAGTTCCTCTACGTGAGCCGTTTCTCGGCGAACTGTTGAATCCAGAGCATTCCAATATGGCGCACAGGAAATCTCGTGTCGAGTGCGCATGTCTCTAGGAATTTAAACTCTTTCTGGAAGAGCAACGAACACACCCCCTTCCATTTCCCCACCCATTTATCCAACCTTATGGAAATGTGATAAAAGCATTTTCTAGGTTTGCAGTTTAATGAATTACTTACAATCATATAATTGTTATCTTTGGTTTGGTATTTAAATGTGATTTGCCATATTTTTTCACAGGGCTTAGCACATAGTCTTAATTTTACGGTTATAAAAGGTAATTATGTTCACAAGTATTAATGAAATTTAAGCAGCAGAGCATGACAAAATTATGAGAACAAAGGAAAAATTGTAGTTCAGCATACACCATGAATTCAGTTTCCAGGATAATTTAAAGTAGCCAATATGATAGTGGCTTTAAAGAAATGTCTTACAAAGATAGATCATTTCAAATGTATTGTTAAATCTGAGTGATGATAACCACCACAGCTTATTACTCCCAATATATTGCAGATCAAAATGTAAGTCAAGCCTGTGAAAGATCACATGGATGAGTTTCTTTGTCCATCACTAGATTTCCCTTCAGTCTGTAAACCAAAGCATCCCTACTCACTGAAATTTTAATAAAGGTTCTATTAGTTTATCAAAACTTGCCATGAAAATGATCAGAACTAAAATGGAAAAAAAGGGGGCTACATTACATAAGGAACCACAGTCTCGAGTGTCTAATCAGATCAGGACAAAAGCAGATGTATCAAAAATATAACATTCCAAGCAGAAAAACATTTGTCACAATACAACAAAAGACAAAATAACCATACAATCTTTAAATTTCTGTATTAATGCTGACAAAACAACAGTCAAAAACACATGTTCAAGTTAAATACAAATGGTCTTTATGGTATAAACATAATATCTTTAATCTACATACATAATATACACAATGTACAAGAATGGCATAATTTCTGTTTTTCTGTAACCAATGAGCAAACATTCTGTCAGGTCACAGAGCAAAACCAGAGCACAGTCACAGCTTGAGGGTTGTTTAAAAAAAAAGAATGCACAAAAACAGCATAAAAAAATTTGTTTCAGGATTTAATTTGACGACAAAGGGAGCCAATCTGAGTGATGCAGCTGGTCACCGCAGCAGGAACTGACTGTGTGGTTTCACTTCGCCATGATGCCAAAGCCTCCAGGGAATCTTTGGGGTTGCAGGGTGCCAGGTCATAAATGGCATAGACAGCAGACAACTGCACCTCCTTGGGCACACCTAAATGGTTGTATTGAGGTGTTATAACTTAGGGTTATACAACTTTAAAGGGTTAGTTCACCCAAAAATGAAAATTATGTCATTAATGACTCGCCCTCATGTCGTTCCAAGCCCGTAAGACCTCCGTTCATCTTCGGAACACAGTTTAAGAGATTTTAGATTTAGTCCGAGAGCATTCTGTCCCTCCATTGAAAATGTATACACGCTATACTGTCCTTGTCCATAAAGGAAATAAAGACATCATCAAAGTAGTCCATGTGACATCAGTGGGTTAGTTAGAATGTTTTGAAGCATCGAAAATACATTTTGGTCCAAAAATAACAAAAACTACGACTTTATTCAGCATTGTATTCTCTTCCGGTTCTGTTGTCAAGCTGCGTTCACGAGTCCGCAGTGACGCTGATGACGTAAGACGCTGCTGACGTGTTATCTGGTGCGTCCGTGTATTCGGGTTCAAATAAATATGGCAGGGCAAAAAAAATGCAAGTCTTCCTCTGTGTCGAAATCCTTAGACATGTTTGCGAAGATTGTTTTGTTTACAGCGTGCGTCTCCCTCAGACTGTAAACGAAGCTCGGGCGCACTGATAACACGTCAGCAGCGTCACTGAACGCGGCTCAACAACAGAACCGGAAGACAATACAATGCTGAATAAAGTCATAGTTTTAGTTATTTTTGGACCAAAATGTATTTTCGATAATTCAAAACATTCTAACTAACCCACTGATGTCACATGGACTACTTTGATGATGTCTTTATTTCCTTTCTGGACAAGGACAGTATACAGTGTATACATTTTCAATGGAGTAACAGAATGCTCTCGGACTAAATCTAAAATATCTTAAACTGTGTTCCGAAGATGAACGGAGGTCTTACGGGCTTGGAACGACATGAGGGTGAGTCATTAATGACATAATTTTCATTTTTGGGTGAACAAACCCTTTAAAACATAAAAACTAAGGCAAGCCATTTTATTTTTTACTAAAATATCTTTAATTTTCTATTACTGTTGTGCTTCATGAGTAGATGTGTAGTACCTTCTGTAATCCCATGTTTTCCAAAAAGGTTTATAGCTTTTGCAACGTTTTGGACTGATTTGCATAGCATCTGCTTCATTCCTAACTGACCAAGTCGTCCTGGAGAAATGCAGAAAAAAAAACAAAAAAAAACACTGATAATAAAAAAAAGGAAAAAAAACTTGGGAATACAAATCTTTTAAAAGGCTTTGTTTTATATGCTTTGTGAGACTTTATGCTATTGTTAATGACATTTTGACTTGTAGTGCTGTTATAAAAAGCACCATCAATCCCCCAAAAAAGTTAATGATGCTAATCATTAAAGACCTATAAAGTAGAATGAAATATATTATTAATGAAATACTATTAAATCATTTTTTAATAATTCAACTAGTTTCACTTTATTTTGATTGTCCCTTTAACACATTCTGTTGACTATAAGTAACACCTACATGTCTACTAACTCTCATTAGAGTGTTAGTAGAGTGTAGTAGACATGTAGTTGCAAAGTTACTTATAGTCAGTAGAATGTCTGTTGTGATACCATCACAATAAAGAGTTAGCAGATATTAAGCAGTCTACTAATACTCTGAGAGTTAGTTGACATGTAGTTGCAAAGTTACTTAAATTTACATAACAGAAAGTTCAAAAGGGATCATCAAAATAAAGTGTTACCGTAAACGTTATAGATTTAATTATTTTAAAATTTAATTTAATATTATAATATTCAAATAAACTAATAATTTAAAAACTTTAATTTAATGCTGTAAATAAACTAAATACTTTCAGTATTAATCACTTCATGCAAATAAAACAACTTACCGATCAATCGCAGAACAGCTGCTACAGTAACATCACGAACTGGGGATTGCTGAAGCCTTGACTGTGTCACCCAAGTGTTCATTACGGGCCATAGCTCTTTGCTGTTTAATTTAAAAAAGTCATGATAAATATATTAAATTATCCATTCTATATATTATTATAATTCTTATTCTTATTCTTATTATTATATTTATTATCCATTCTTTTAAACGATTTAACATTCTGTACTTGGTAAATAAATATACCCAATAACATAATCATGCGTCCACTTCCACTTCATGTGTGTACACAAGAGATCCAAGGTATATATATATTCCCAAGCAGTTGGGCAAAGGTCGTGACCATGACGATCATGCTTCTGGAATGTCAAAGCTTTGTCTTCTTGAAGTGCCTTCAGTGTGTTGCTGATCAATTCTTGGATGTCATCAGGAGGACTCTAAGAAATATTAGGGACAACTGTTAAAATGCAAGATAATTAAATTATTTAAACTGTATGTTTTTATGCACTGAATTAAAGGGTACAGAAATTAAACTGTTCTGTGCCCAATCTTTATGCATATGATGTCCAGAGGACAAATAGCAGGGTCAGGAAGGAAATTACAGAATCTGTTTGCTTTGTAATAATAATTATTGGTAATGTAATGAATCATGGTATTTGTTTGTGCCAGCCATCAGAGACTGGGCAATGAAGCATACCTTATCCCAGTGTAGATATTTAGTTAGGTAATCCAAATTTTTTTTTTCTGATTTAAGCTTGGCCACTGTATGAATGGCTTTGCACAAGGAGGTCTCATGGAAAAGCACACTTGGCCATGTTGTGACCATGAACAAAATTAGCTTGGAGGCATCAGGAAAATCTGTGAGTGAAGAATCCGGATTGAATCAACAACTTAAAATGAAAAGTCTACTTACATTTAATAATACCAACACTTAAAGCAGGGATTCTCAACTCTGGCCCTCAAGGTTCATTTGGAGTTTTGCTCCAACGCTAATAAAGGTCGTCAGGATTACAAAAAAATTATGGGAAGGCGAGTTAGTGATTTTCCTTACTCAACAGGAAAATGGACCTCAAGGGCTAGAGTTGAGAACCCCTGACTAAAAAAGGCTAAACAACTAAAACGATACGTTTAATAAACATACCATATAGATTTAATGGGAAAAGTTGCTGTAAACTCACCCTCTTTGAGAATGTTGTATGCAAAGGCATGGGCTTTCTGATAGTCTCCTATCTGGCGACATATCCCGGTGTAGACTCTACACAGAGCTTGTATATTTTCACAACTCAGAATGCTCCTCTCAGTCTTTAGTTTAGTCAATATGGCAGACATGAGTTTTTCTGCTGAAAACTAAAGAATAAGAAAAAAAAATGCAGCTTTGAGGATATTAATGCACACATTTGCATTATCATCTGACTTAAATAAGATTATCATCTGACTATAAACACGTACCTGATTTACACAGAATTCAGCAATTACAGCCTTTTCTTCATCAATCAAAATTGGCACCTGAGATATTCTCCCAAGGAACACATGGCTCTTAACAACAGGCAAAACATCAAAACAGGACATTCCAACTTTGGCCAGTGCTTCCGAGATTTTACTATTTTTGTCCATTGTGTTGTTGTCTGGCTTTTTCTCAATGATCTGCTGACTGCTTTGTATTTCTTGGTGAGATTGGATGGACTCTGTTTTAATAACCGTTTGATGATCCTTTACTTGTTCTGCAGGAAAATCAACACCAGGAGGAGCAGGTGAACAGTTATCAAGTCTGAGTCTTTTAGCACTCTTTGGCAAAAGCATGTTCACACCTGTCTTTTTTGGTTTCTGCTCTGTTTTGGTAAAGGCAGTAGATGAAGAACTGATTGTTTTATTTCCTGATATCTGGTTAACAGAAGGAGGGGAGGTACCATTCTCATTGCCAGCTCGGTTCAGGTTAACATTCCCACGGAGTATGTTTAATGTGCGGGCTCGTGCAGAGAGGTCAGGATACATAGTATCCAGCATCTGCATGGAGTTTTCCTGAGAAGCGGCTGGAGGGGAGGAGGATAAGGCAGATGACGGCAGCCTTCCTGGGACCGGAACAGCATGTTTTGGAGTAGCTGATCCAAACTGAAGTGGTGAGGAGGGAACTCCACAAGACGGCGATGGAGTGGTCAAGCACGGAGACATTTTTGAGGCATCCGGAAGAGCTGAATCGATAACAGGCACGGAAGGTATCGTCTTAGGAGACATTGGTTCATCTGTTGGTAATCCAGAGGATATTGAAGTAGGCTTTAAAGGAGTGTTATGTTTTCCAAACCTTGGAGGAGTAGCAGTAAGTGGCATAACCACTGGAGGTAGGGGTGGACCCATCTCTGTTCGAACCCTTCCAAGAGATAAACATGAGGGTGGTGTAATATGAGTTTGGGTGTGGAGACCTGGAGCAAGGGAAATATTGTCACCGTTTTCAGAAGTAGAATATTCTGCATCCAGAGTACCTTGGCATGGTGTGCTGGTATCCTCAAGACTATCTACTGCAGAATCTCCTGATGTTTCCTTGTGGTTATAAACATCACTGACTAGATTTTTGACACAAGGTCTACAGGTATCAGTTGACATCTCCTCTGTCTGTTGAGATTCATTATTCATTTGCACTGATGTTTTTTCTGAGATAGTCGAATCATTTTCTTCGGTATCCTTAGGGTTATTTTCTTGACTCAGTAACTTTTGAACAGTTTTGTCAATTTCTGACTGCGTATTTCCAGGAACATTATCCAACTCTTCTGAGGGGATTCTTCCTTCTGACCTTGTGTGAACACCCCTAACCTTTATCTTCAAACCAAAAAATCCTTCATCTTCTGATGATGATTCTTCAGCCTTTGAGGGTCTTAAAGGGCATGCACCTCCATTTACTCTTGCATCCAAATTTTTCTGATCTTCTGTAGGCGTTGAAACATTATCCTCAGCACTATATTCAGATTGGTCAGCCTTGCCAGCCAGTCTGTTCTGAATGTCATGAGTTGATATATCTGCAACAGTCTTCATTTCTAGTGGTTCACAACTCTTTGATTCCTTATTGTCAATACTGTCTAATGTACTATAGTTCACATCAAGTGTTGAAACGCTCTTGACATTAGTTTCCAATGTCACATTGGGCTGTACCTGAGAAGTTTTGCTTTCTGTAGAATCAATAGAATTGGTGTGCACTAGCTCAGAGTTTATATCCTGCTGAGGATCTGAGTTTTCAAGATTATTAGTGATTTTTGTATCCTCCAATTTTGTTGTGTCATCATTTGGATTCATCAGCGGAAGTTCTACCACAGTTTGTGTGGTGTCACTTTCAACGGAACTTTCCACACTGTGTCCATTTTCTATACCTGACTTTGCAGTTTGAGTCTGAGTGTTGGCCACACAGCCATTCGTTCCTTCAAACACATTCTCTACCTCCATGTGTTGGCTGTAAGACAAAGTGTTTTCAAGATCTAAATTCTCAACAGATACAGCTGATCTTGCTTGAGTGTTTGGGGACAAAAGTACAGAAGATTTTTCCACTTCTTTTAGTGGAAAAAGAAGGACTTCTGAGGACTTCTGATCCTCAACATCTGAAGGTTCTAATTTTGTGTTGTTTTGAAGAATATCTTTATGTAACCTTGACAGTGCTTCTGGTTTTCCATTATCTGATTGATATTCCTGTTCAGTATCGGACATTGGTTGGTCGTCATTTACACTGACCTGAAAGAACAAATGAAAAATGTTACACTACATCTCTTCACCACTACTGGCCATACAGGAACATTATTACAGTTACTAGACAAAGGGGAGCTGGAGCGCTGCTGGTATCCCTTGTATCCTCTGGTGCTCTTGGAAGGGTTAATCGTTCATAAAAAAGAATTGGAAAAAATCCAAGTCCAGGCACTCAGTAGGATGCAAAAGTTAAAAAGCCTTTATTATTTTAAGGGCTAAAACATTAAAACACCAACGCGTATCGGCCCACTGGCCTTCCTGATGATGGTGTTGGTAACAAACAGACAGATTAGGAGTAGTGGGCATTGAGGCTATTCGCCTTGATGCCAGGGGTGGGGATATAATCAAATGCCTTAAACAGAGGAAGACATATTGGATCTATTCCTTGAGGGCCACTAGTCATCCAGGTCTCAATGAAGATTTTGACCTTTCACCCTTTTTGTAACTGTTGTGTCTCAATATGGACAGTGTATTGCTGTTCGTAAATGATGACTAGATTTGAATGAATTTTACAGATCCCTCATTTGGTCTTGTATTTGTGTGGTTTAACCTCTGGCATTAGACATTACCTGAACTATTGCCTCTACTGGCCAAGAAATTGTGTTCCAAGTCCCAGAGTGGCACACCTGAAATTAATGCAACTATAAGTATGACTTGATTCTGTCTGTTTGTTACCAACACCCTGATGAAGGCCAGTGGGCCGATACGCGTTGGTGTTTTAATGTTTTAGCCCTTAAAATAATAAAGGCTTTTTAACTTTTGCATCCTACTGAGTGCCTGGACTTGGATTTTTTCCAATTATTAGTTACATTTTACAAGCCAGTATTAAATCAGTTAACTAATTGCCTTAGGCAACATAATTGTTGAATCTCCATGAATACCACTATATTTGAGATGACATTTAACGCTTCACACGTTTTTTTTGTCAGTATTTCAGTCAATTACAAATTACTTGTATTGTGAATTTCTATAGCACAATTTCTGTAGGCTGAAATTAAATCTTGTCTAGGTGTCAGTTTGAAACTTCATATATATATATTTTCTTCGCAATGCACATTTGATGCTTTCTCAACATATCTAAACTGATCTCAATAGAAAGGTTTAGAAGGAAATATTTGTTACAAGCAAAGTCACAAATAGTTCATTTGAAGTAAAGTCAAATTCAAGTCAGAAGTATTTTAATATTAGCTTAAAGACCAAGACTCAAGTCCACGTCTCTAAAAATCACAGTAATGGCACTGCAATTTAATCACATGAGCATTGCAATGTAATTGAAACGTAAATGTTCACTCACCAGCTCTATTGAGGGGCTATGCACAGGTGATAAAGCTGTGGGCAAAGGCTTGAACCACTCTTTAATGCCCTGCAAATCAATACAGTAATCTCCATGTAAGAAATCTTCATCTGTCATTTCCTTTAGTGAAGGTCTATTGGCATCATCGGTCCAAGTGTTCACATGTTCAAGCACATCTGAACTTACTTTCCTCTTTCTACTTGGTGCACTGAACTGTTGGTCATTATTCTGCTTTTTCAGTTTTTGAGGTGATGGTGTAGGCCTATTGATCGCTGGAGGTGATTTAGGCGTGGAGAGTTTTGAAGATTGCAACTTAGTTTCTGGACTGGGATACCCTGGAGATGGATGGGAAATCGGTCTTCCTAAAGGACTGTTTAGCAGTGGTTGAGGAGGTATTCTTTTAAGTTGACTCTTCAAGGGTGCTGCCTCTTCTCCTGCAAATGGTAAATGGACTGCATTTATATAGCGCTTTCACAGACCCAATGGCCACCAAAGCGCTTTACATATTGCCTCACATTCACCCATTCACTCACTCATTCATACACAGACGGTGGTGTCAGCCAAATAAATATGCATTGCCTCTTCATTAAGCTTGGTGACTTGATAATAAAGGAAAAATTTTGCTTAATCAACGGAAGAATGATTACCAGCAATAAACAATTTTTCTTGTGTTTGGGATGAAGTTTCCACGCAATGCCAAAGCTCTTCCAGCAGCATTCTGACTTTGCCTGAAAAGGAAACATTATCAATCCCCATGCTATCCAGATGTTTTCTTTTAAATATCTAAGCATTTAATTGAACAACAGAGAGTCTAACAGTTTTAAACAATGCATACCTTTGTCAATTAGTGGCTCTGCATCTGTTTGAGAAGACGTACTCTTTTTTTCTAAAATAAAAAAAAATTGTTTAATGACTGAAAACAAATAATATACTAGGTGTAGGTACTAGGTGTACTTATGCATAACTCATACCTTTGTTGAACTCCTTCTCAAGTTTATTCAGTCTTTGCTGAAAACAGTAAAGAAAAAATTGAAAATATGATCAGAATGAATGATTGTGATTTCACCAGAGCATATAAATTATTACAGCAAAAATGTAACCTGTGTTGTGTAGAGCACTTCTTCAAGTCTTCTCTTCTCATTGTTTAGAACACCAATTTCATTGTCCCGTTGAAATTTTGACTCTGTGTACAAATAAACACAGAAAGACTTTAATTAGCTTTTATCTCCAATCTATATAGTGCACAAAACCATTTGCTGGAACATAAGGTAAGGAGATTAAAAAACAATCCAATATATATTTTAATGTGCTGTGATACAGTCCATATTCAGATAAGTTAAAGATAAGCTAAAGCAGAATTAAAATGTCATTCATTTATGTAGTCTAATATGTATATGCAGTGATGGGAATAACGGCGTTATTACTAACGGCATTACTTTTTCCAGTAATGAGTAATCTAATTGATTACTCTTCTCATCTTAATAACGCCGTTACCGTTACTGCCAAAAAATGCGGCGCGTTAGTATAACTGATGAAGCTGGGGTTTTTTTTCATCAGACCAACTAGATCTCTGAGCGAGAGGCAAATACTTTTTTTACTGTTCTTCCTTGGTTAGTGGGCAGAGCACGAGACAAGCGCATAAATGCTGACGATTGGCTGAGGTAGAGTAAAATGTCATTGTAAGCCAATCAGAGGTAGAATTGGGCGGGTGTTCGAAAGCACGCATGATGGGCATTCGGCTCTTTTGACTCAGCTCACTGAAAAGAGCCGGCTCTTTTGGCTCACAAACGGCTCTTTAAATGACTTTGACTATAATATTTCAATTTTTATTACATAATTATTTAATTTCTAAAGGCTAAATTTGTAAAAATAGAGTCGGCTCTTCAGATATGCGAGCCAGCTCCCGATGTTCACCTAAAAGAGCCGGCTCTTAGAGTCGGCTCATTCGCGAATCGCGAACGACCCATCAAAAGCTCATTCGCGAACGAGTCGATCCATCATCACTAACGCTCATTCGCGAACGACCCATCATTACTAACGCTCATGAATTGCGAATCATAACGCATAGTCGGACAGGACAGGACACACAAGGAACAACACAAGCCAGTCAGTCAACGAGAGACAGGTATGGCGACGAGCTTATCGAGCTTAATTTAATTTTGCCCAGTTGTGGCCTGTTGAGGGGCAATACATATCAAAAGTTCCAAAACATCTATTGTGTTATTTGCATTGATCCACTATATAAACATAATATCTACATACATGGCATTTGATTGGAGGCTAGTCTCACTTTGTCCTACAGCAACATTTTTTTTTTTAGATGTGTGTACAATGTTTCATGTTTCTGTTAATAATGTATTGTATTAAGTGTCCATTTCATTATAATATTCAGATTTATCATAAATAATTGAACATGCACATGTATTTTAAGTTCTGTTAAAGAGGGGTAGAGGTGGGGTCACATTTGAGCATTTAAAATTTAATTTTACTTGAAAGTAACGCAATAGTTACTTTAAGTAACTAGTAACTTTTAAAATTTGTAACTGAGTAACTAATTTAGTTACTTTTTGGAAGAAGTAACTAGTAACTGTAACTAATTACTTTTTAAAAGTAACTTGCCCAACACTGTGTATATGTAATATGTATAAGATCACTAACACAGACCTTTCAGCACCAAAAGCTCATTCTCAAGGTTTCCTTTCCTGAGAGGAGAAAAAAAAATAGACATACATTAAAACTTAATTTTTTTCTTCTTCTGAAGATCACTGTCCAATTCAACACTAACAAATATCAACAACATATTTAAAAAAAAGGACAAGCATTTGTTGTTGTGATTTGTAAACAATAAAACCGACCCGGCTGGACTTACATAATTAGTGTCTTGGCATTCTCCAACTTGAGATTCTCATGTTCCTCAGTGGTCTGAACATATTTTCTGAGAGAATCCTTGAAATAAAGAAACCCAATAAAGGGGTCAGAAAATTAAAATAAAAACTGACAATCAACGAAATACAAAAATATGCAAAAGACAAATAGTATATTAACTCCGCTTTTTTAGAGCTAATCTAAGATGGTACTGATACATTAACTTTAAAAAGACAGTATTCCATTTGAACACCAATGATAATAATCTTTAAAAAAAAAATGCACAGCTTTTGTTTGGACTGACCAATCTATAAATCACAGTGCTAACTTCAAAGAACCTAACCTGAGTTTCCTGCAGATCCTCCTTCAGTGATTTTATTTCTGTTTTGAGCTTCTCATTCTCCAGGTTTTGCTTTTGCACGGTGTCTGTGAAAATGGCACAATTACATGTTTATGGGCAACACAAATATGATCCAGGAATTCAGTGAGTGAACAAATCACAGAAAAGACAGTTTCAGTTTTGATTAGGGATGCACCGGGCCCCATATTGCACTCGTGTACTAGTACTCATAAAAATGCTCTGATACCAACAACAGATACCACGCAGTGTTTGTGTCCAGATTGAAAAACACTGGCAACAGAGTATAATGGGGATAAAAGAGGAGGCTGTCTATCAAGTAAATGTATCTAATTAGTGAAATATTAAACAAAATACAGTAAAGCCTACATAGCTGTGGCGCGTGAGCTGGTAAGTGAAAAACGTGCAGTGGCACAGACGCACAAGCGCATCCCTTTTTCACAGACATCAGTGGAAAGTTTGTAGTTCGGTCGGATGTAAATGGCAAAGAAAGTAAAACGAGATTGCTGATGGTTCACTCAGCACACATGCATCATTTGGATTCAAACTAAATCGTATATGCAAGTAAAACATGAACTGTTATGTGATTTATGTATAACGAGTGGTTCCCTACATTATTACAGGACGTTTGCAGGTCAAGAAGTTTCATGAACGCAAACATCCAAAGACCGTCCCCTGAAATCTGCCTCAGACAACGTGCGAATTGAATTGAATTCTTTCACGTCTTGCGCTTGAATGGACAAATTCACACAAAATTATGTTAAACGTCCATCTTGGCGAGTATCCTGGTAAACATAGTCGGCTATATCTTAAAGAACGTAAACAAAGAAAACACATGCATTCGATCTTAAAGGGACAGCAGCCTAATCAACTTGCTGCTGTATTTGTACTTGCTGCTGCTGTACAAAAGACAAAGTAATCACTCACTGCTATTGACTGAATTACTTTTGTAACTTTATAAAGATTAATCTAAATTTAATTTATATACTTTTTTATTGTGACATTATTCATATTACAATCATACAATTAGTATGTCAAAGTAGTCACAATATATTTTTCCCCTTTTTTCTCCTTTCCTTTACCCCCTTAACACCCAGTGAATAAAATAATAATAATTATAATTATAATAATAATAATAATAAAAATAAATAAAAATAATAATAATAAAAATAATACTAATAATAATAATAGTAAAAATAAAAATAAATACTACAAGAAAATAAATAAAATAAATAATTAGCGAAAGGAAATGTACACACATACATACACACACATACCCACGCACATATACATACATACCTATACATATATACCCCACGTATATACATGGGATGCGTACATCTCATATACAACCATATATTCACATATGCATACGTAAATGTATACACATACGTACATGCATACCTCTCCATATACATGTTTACATATAGAAATACAAATTTCCATGTAGCTGCATCATATATCCATATAGCTACATCATATATCACAGAGATTACATCCATGCCTCATCTAATTACCCAGGTCCACATCCATGCTTAATTTTTATTTTTCAAAGCATTTGGTTAGCATATGCAAACCATCTCTTCTTAAATAACTTCATTTTACCTCTCATCTTATGCGTTATCATTTCATTTTCATACAGGTTTTCAACAACCTCAATCCATTTATCCAAACCGGGTGGATCAATTTTTTTCCAACCTCGAGTTATTTGTTTAATAGCAGTAATTCTCAACACCCAGAAGATATAATAATTTTCTTTGTTTAACCCTTCCGGCTGTATGCCCAGCATGACATGTAGTTGTTCAATATTAGTATTTTGACCACAAATTTGCTTCATTAATTCTAACACATTACCCCAATATGGCTGGATTTTTGAACATGTGTAGAGGACATGAGCCAGGTCAACGTTACCTTCACCACATTCTCTCCAACAGTATTGTATTTGATTTGTATATTTACTAATTTTCAGTGGTGTTCTAAAAAATCTAACCAATAGTTTCCACGCATATTCCTGCCAATAGGGGGACTTAACATAGCTGGAAACATTTTTACATGCTTGACTCCACTCCTTTTCAGTTACTGTTATTCCAATGTCTTTCTTCCAAGAATTCAAAATATTATTAATTTGATTATCTTTATTATTATTTAAAATATTATAAATTTGTCCCATTATATTTTTAAAACTCGACTTTTCATAGACTTTCAAAATATGCTCCACGATAGGACTTTGGTCTTGGAAAGAATGTATATTTGTTGTTATATAGCTCCTCACTTGGAGGTATCTAAAAAAATGATTACTTGAAAGGTTATAGTCCTTAGATAGATTTTCAAATGTATCAACTGCATGATCTTTGAACATTTTATGAAATCTTGTAAGTCCCTTAGTTTCCCATATCCTGAAAGTCTCATCCATACGATTCGGAGTGAAGTCTGGGTCTTGACTAATTTCCCTCAGGCAAACCATATCAGTTGATTTTATTTTCATAATTTTGCATAATCTTTTCCAGCTCTTCCATGTCTGATAAATAGAAAAATTCAAATGTTTGACTCTTTCTGCAGTTTGCCCTGAGAAAATTAAAGAGGTGGGTGAGTCTACCAATTTGTTCTCAATAGATTTCCATTTAGGGTTCATTTTATTATTCATCAAAACTAAAATACTTTTGATTTGGGCTGCATGATAATAAAGACTCAAATTTGGTAGACCCAACCCACCTTGTTCCCTCTTTTGTTGTAAAAATTTAAGTTTTACCCTTGGTTTTTTTTCATCCCATATAAACTTTCCTAGCATTCTTTCCCACTCCTTAAAGCTTGAGCTTGTTAGATACAGAGGAAGGTTCTGGAAAAGAAAAAGAAAGCGTGGCAATACATTCATTTTTATAATTCCTATTTTTTCAAATATTGTAAGTGGCAGGATTTTCCAACGCATAAGATCCTGCCTTAAGGAGTTTTCCAAAACTTTATAATTACATGTGTACAATTTATCAATTTCTCTAGGAATTATAATACCTAAATATTTTATTTTGTTCTGATCCCATTTCAACTTAAATTTTTTCTTAAATTCTGTTTGGAGATTGCATCCTATTTCCATGGCTTCAGTTTTAGCTGAATTTAATTTATAGCCTGAAATAGCCCCGTATTTTTCAATTTCCTCTAGCAGCACCGGTAGTGATTTATATGTATCAGTTAAGAATATTATGACATCGTCCGCATATAACGCCAGTTTATGTTCTTCATCATGTATCTTAATGCCCTTTATACCCATACTTGTCCTTATGCATTCCGCCAGTGGCTCAATGCACAAGGCAAAAATCTGTGGAGAGAGCGGATCGCCCTGTTTTACCCCTCGTTTTATCTGAAAGGGTTTCGATAGCGAACCAATGGCTTTCACTCTGGCTGCAGAATCATTATACATTCCCATCATTAAATTAATGAATTTCTTGTGAAAGCCAAATTTATTCAGAACTACAAACAGAAAAGGCCAAGATACTCGGTCGAATGCTTTTTCCGCGTCCAATGTAAGCACTATCATTTGTTGTTTTGTTTTTCTAGCATAATCAATAACATTAAGGGTTCGACGTACATTGTCACTAAGAAATCTATTTTTGACAAATCCTGTTTGGTCCTGGTTTATAATAGATGGTAAGATTTCCGAGAGCCTGTTTGCCATAATAGATGTAAATATTTTCTGATCAGCATTCAGAAGTGAAATAGGCCTATACGATGAACATTGTTTTAGGTCCTTCCCTTCTTTAGCTATAACTGTTATAATTGCATTTTTCCAAGTATCTGGCCATTTTCCCGTTTGTAACACCTCATTAAACACTCTATGTAGAACTGGTACAATTAGGTATTTGTAATCTTTGTAGAATTCATAGGTATAACCATCTTCTCCAGGGCATTTCCCCAATTTTCCCTTTTCAATAGTTTTTATTATTTCCGTTTGGGTTATATTTTTTACTAAGCTTTCATTCTGGGTTTCAGTCACGGATGCTAAACTTAATTCATCTAAATAACTTGCAATTGTCTGCTTGTCAAAATTATTTACTTCTGAATTATAAAGGTTTTCATAGTAGTTCCTAAAACAAGATAGAATGTCTTGTCTCCCTCTCCTTGGCGTTGCATTATCCATAATTATATTGATTACCGCTTTTTCTTTGTTCTTTTTTATTTTGGAGGCTAGAATTCGTTGAGCTTTGGAGCTATTGTCATAAAATAATTGTTTAGCAAAAGTGAAATCTTTTACCAAGTCCTCTGAATTAATACTCTCTAATTCTTTTTTTGCATCATTCAGTTCTTTTTCTATTATTTTATCCCTCACTTTTAATTCTTGCAACTTTTGTATTTTATTCTCTATTAACGTTTGTTTCTTCTCTCTCAATTTTTTCCTCCAAGATGAGTATGCTATTATCTCTCCCCTTAGGGTTGCTTTAGCTGTTTCCCATAATAATACAGGGTTTATTTCACTGTTATCATTTATATCAAGGAATGTTTTAATGTTAAAAAAAAAAAAAAAAAAAAAAAAAAAAAAATTAATTTATACAGTGATGAATATGCAGTATTATTTCACAATTGATTACTTTATTCAAATTATGTACTTGAAAACTACTGTTAGACCTACCTGAAAACCCCCAAAACTGCTGTTTATTTCATTTGTAGCCTTTCTTTGTTCTATTGTATTTATTGGTGCTATTTGTAATTTGATTATTTGTTTATATTTTATTACTGACGGCTTATTTGTTTTTAATAATGTGTTAAATTTTCATTTATAAGGCTAGTAGTTTTTGCGAGAATAGAGAATTAGAGTGAAAAGTAACAGAAGCTCACATTCTCACATCATACAATACCTTTTAACATGCTTATCGGGAAAATAACTGAAAGAAATATATATTTATTAAACAAATTAATCAAACTAATATGATTAATATTTTTTTGGTTTCTCTACCCAATGTATTAAAAAATTACAAATGCAGTGAAAATACAGGTATTGGTATCGGCAAGAACCAAAAATGAAAGTATCGATCTCGTTTTTGAAAAAGTGGTATCGGTGCATCCCTAGTTTTGATCATCTGTTTTTTTATTAATATGATCAGCACTCTTGACATATAGAGTTCTAATCTTATCCTTAAAATAATTTGTGATGCATGTACCCTCTGCTTGTCTTAAGGATTCTTCAGCTTTTTCTTTCCTGTGAACAGAGAAAGATAAATACAGTGAGTAGAAGACATCATGACAAGCAGAACTAATCAACAGTGATACTACAGTAGAGAGTGGTCTTACAGAGAAAGTGTCTGAACACTTTCAGCTCTCAGTCTGTCAACATCTTCACATCTCTGCTGATACAATTTCAGTTCAGCCTGTTGTATAAAAAAGCAAGAAGAAAAGAGAAATTAGCATGCACATATTTCAAGTCCAGTTAAAGTTAGCTTAACTAACTTCATGATGAATGACCATTCTAACTTAGATTTTAGAAGTCTTTCTATTGAATTGGTAGTAAAGATTGCAAATTTAAAGGCCCCAATATATTCCAATCAAACGTAATTAAAGAACAAACTAGCATGAAATATTTTTTTTTACAATATTAGGCAAAAAAAAAAAAAAAAAAAGTTAGTTTGGAGTTTGTTCCAGGAAACCAAACTTTACAAAAAAGTTGTCTGGTAAACACCTTCAAACTACCGTGGTGATTAGTAGTTGTGCTCTGATGTGGAAATCTTTTCCGGTTCAGTTCTTTTGTTCAATCCATCAATATCAGACGCAATAGAAACAAACACACAGGAAAGCTGCTGCAAATCTTGTGCAAACACATCCACATTGCTACGATCAGATGCTTTCTTAACTGCTGTTTTCTCACCGCTGTCAATTTTGCTGTTTATTTTGTTATTTAGAAGCAAGTGCGCAGCATAGGGGTGGAACGGTACATGTATTCGTATTGAACCGAAACGGTACGGGCGTCGCGGTTCGGTGCACGAATTTACACGGAGAATACACGGTATAAAAATAAATAAAACTCGCGTGCAAATTAATTCATTTAATGCGGAACTACTGTTAGATACGCGGGTTCTTTAGGGACACATAATCAGTACCATCGGCTTAGCTCTGAACGCGCGTTCACTTCAAACGTTGGCTTTATACGCGCGTCCTATTCGCTTTGGACTAGCGTCGAACTAGATGCCATAGACGCGAATTTGACGTTCTATCCGCGTTTGGTGTGACCGCATAATGAACAGGCTGCGATGTCAAGATTGCAATGCTGGAGTGTGTGTGTGTGTGTGTGTGTGTGTGTGTGTGTGTGTGTGTGTGTGCGAGAGAGAGAGAGATGCGCGGGCGCGATCGAACTGCGTGTGTGTGTGTGAGAGAGAGAGAGAGAGAGAGAGAGAGAGAGAGAGAGAGAGAGAGAGAGAGAGAGAGAGAGAGAGAGAGAGAGAGAGAGAGAGAGAGAGAGAGAGAGAGAGAGAGAGAGAGAGAGAGAGAGAGAGAGAGAGAGAGAGAGACGCGAGCGCGATCGAACAGTGGAAACATAAAAAACATACTCCGTCATTTTGTTCATAAAGATCATTAAACCTGCAAAGTGTTTTCTTATATTTGTGTACACTCGCAATAAAACACAACATTGTGCTTTTGTCACACTGTAAACTCTTGTCAAACTGTAACCAACTATCACCCAACCAAAATCACATTTTAAAAGCAAAACATATTTATCCAACTCCATTTCAAAACAGTTTGTGGGTCCCATCTTTTGGACATTAATCATATTGCATTGGTTTTCATTTCTTGTCCTCGGAGCACTAATCTTACACATTCTACATTGATTAAAAAAGAAAATCGAATGTGTTTTTAATGGTAGTATTATTTTGTACAGAAATCAATTATTTATAATTCAGATGAGAATAATGTTACATTGTTAATTAATGATGTTAATTAAAATTAAGGAAAACAAATATATTGATCTGAAGTATAGCAAATTAATTTTAAATTAATTCAGGTACAACTACCAAACATATCGCAAGGTCTTTTTGTCTTTTTATTAATTTAATTAATAAACTAATTATATAAAACTATTGTCAGTGCACTACAAATAAACTGGTTCTATGCCTTTATTAATACTGTAAACTTATTAAAAAAATTCAATGCCTTCTGCATTTTTGTTTTGCTTTTCCCTCCATTGTACCGAAATCGTACCGAACCGTGACTTCTGTGTACCGTTCCACCCCTAGCACAGCACATATCTAAACGCTGCCTTCAACAGCTTGGGAGGCATTGTAATGTTCGCCAACAGTATACAGCTGCAAAACAATTTTTCAAACTTCTTTTTACTCCTAAGCGAAAAAAAAAAAAAGAAAAAAAAATATACGTATACCAGGGCTTTAATTCAATACAAAAGTGCAGTTTTTCGATCTCTTACAAGAGTAAATGCCAGGGAATGTGCGAGACTAGTCGATTAAACCAGTGTTTCTCAACTGGTGGGTCACGACCTAATTGGTGTGCAGTCAAAGAAACAACAAAAAAATTTATTCTAAATGTTTTTTCTGATGGGAGACTTATTTTTGAAAGACGTGCGTGTGTTGACACTACTGTCAGAGTGCCTGAGAAAAACGTGTTGTCCCGATTCAGCATCTGGGGTCAAATGAAATGTTGTTTCAGTCTCATTATTCTATCTTTATTTAAAAAATATATATATATATATTGAGAAAAATAAAGTCTCTCACCTCAGTAAAACAAACTTTCCTGTCCTGTCAGAAGTTATACTGTGCTCGTAGCGCGCACTCTTCAATTGCAAGCGCAAATGCGGCGGCACGTACTGTATATCACTTCACTAAAGCGCAAAAGAAACTATGAGCGTGCATCGTCATAATTATGTAGTCAAATAAGTAAGCCATGAAATAAAAGTAAACTACCAATAAATCACGTTACTGGTACGTCATGTGTTAGCTGGGAAGGATTGCATGCAGAGGTATGATGTTCATTCTATTCAGGAACAGTTTCCATGTTTCATTAACAGTTCGTGTTAGTATTGTGTATTCACCATGGTAACTGTTGTTTCCATAACCCCAAAAAGCCATGTTATTTTCATTTTGTGTTATTTTGTATATTTTTCAATTTTCTGCAAGCTTTTTTCAAGGTATATTTAAGGTGTTGTTTCGATTTTAGGCATATCAAGTTGCAATACTGAACAAGACCACATGGACACGAAAAAAAACAAAAAACTAAACCAACCGCTTGACTTGACTGCATATGTCTACTACAGTACATGATTCCATTCAGAATTACTAAACAGCAATTATCGCAGAGAATTTACATTACACAGCAATTAAGACTTACTAAACCCAACCGATAAAAACATTATCCTGAATGTGTTTGGAAACAACGTGAATGTACTGAAATGTGTAAACACAAATACAATGTGCGATCAGTGTGTCGAGAGCGCACATACACGGTTCGTTTGCGCATCAATATAACAGACTCGCGCGTAATTACTGTACGATTCCTGTACGTCACAGTAATCGTCTTTACCTTGATTGCAATCCTCATCCATCAAAACTTTACTAGCGAGACACTGGTTTGCTTTATCCAGCCGAGAAACGTAGTTTGCATATCATCTGGCCATACAGTGATGGGATGTTTTGATGTTCCGTTCAGTCAGTATTTCACACACCGTGATGCATGAGGGCTAGCGGTCTTCAGAAACAATGACAGAATATGACACAGCTTGTGTTTTAAAGTGAAAAACACACTGGAATGAATAATTCACTGAAAACACTACGCGAGTCTCTATTCTCTCAGCCACCTCTGATGTAATCAACCTGGTTTTCTTTACATTAGCGCTGTTTTGGACTGATTGGACTGAACATTTTCTAGTTTAGCAGCTTAAAATGATCTGATTGCAAACTAAGAAGCAAAATCAGGTCAAAGGGTTAAAATAGAAATGTACATCTACCAGGGTTAGAGGTATTGTAGATGCTCAGTGTTATACACTCCCAACTTCTAAGATCATCTAACTGCGTGATGTAAATTACGTTAATGGCGCCTATTTCACGTGCTTCAGTAATTTATATGCGTTATTTCCGTTAAATGTTTTTAATGCGTTAAGGATTTAGAATTAATTGCATGCGCTAACGCGTTAATGTTGACAGCCCTAGTTTATATTACTTAACTTTTTTAATTAAAGTGGGAGTTTTTAATCTGTATTGAAATTGGCAATGAGAATCAGGGAAATTCATTGCAATTGGTAGCGATTACTGAAATTATTATGTGATGGTTAGACATTCGGGGGTTTGAACACAAACCTTAATTTTCTCTAGCTCTGTCTTCATCTGTTCATACTCCACTGTTTGCTTCTCTAAGGGCTCAAGCTTCAGTAGCACCTCATCCAGCTGTCTGTGCAGTTTGCTGCTCTCTCTGTGAAAAACACATCACCATGTTTCAAAGGCATTCTTTAAATACACATTTAGTCAACATACTTCAATCATAATCGACAATTTGTTTGCAGAAAATGATGCTGCACATTATCAAACTTCTAAAACTTTAGGCTACTGCACGACAAATTACCTGTGCTTGTTTTAAGGAACTTCTCTGTAGCAACTAAGCGTAAATGTACTTGTACAGCAGCATCTTGGCTTTGCATTACTTTAGTTGCAACATGACAAGTACAATGTCTTTGCAATAATTAGAAGTATGCCAGTTGAGGAATCAGTGCACATGCATGGCATATTCTCTGGTATATCTATTTTTCAAGTAACAGCCTGGTAAATGTGCACTGTAAATCACTTTGATAAACAGCAGCTGCTTAAAACATAAATGTCACCTAAAAATAAATCTATTACACATATAACTGTAGTGAAAAAGAAAATAAGGTCTTACCTCTGTGATTTCTGAAGCTGTGACTTTTTGTCAAGGAAAACAAAGATGGATTCAGAGAACAATGTTAATTTTGAACGTTTTGGGTTCACTATGCTCCAGACCAGTGTATGTGAGCGGTACGGAGTGGGTAGTAGAGTGCGATTGTGCCTGGGGCAATGAGCACATTTTCACTTTAGAGTATCTGTGATTTTTATCACTACATATTTGGACGTTTCCTTCACCAGCAATCATGGAATAGGAAATGGAAACCCCATATTGGAGCTTAAGCAGAATAATTAATTAAGTGATATTTTAAAGGAACTAGGAAAGGATATTTGCCATTGCTCTAGTTAAATACAAATGCTTGGTAACTTGCAAAGTTGAACACTTTCTTTTGCAACCATTTTCGTTGGATGGGGGCCAACATTTTTCTAAAATGTAATGTACTTGATATCAGAAATTATAAATGTTTCAAAGAATTAAAATGAAAAATAACAATGTTGTTGAATGTTAAATATTATATAAGAGAAAACAGGATCAAAATACCTTAAAGGGTTAGTTCACCCAAAAAAATTCTGTCAGTAATTTCTCACCCTCATGTTGTTCCAACCCCGTAAGACTTTCGTTCATCATCGGAACACAAATTAAGATATTTTTGATTAAATCTGAGAGCTGGATCACTCCTCCATGGGCTTCTTAAGGGATCGAAACTGACCGGCCCAAAAGTTATGAAAGACTTCGTTAAAATAGTCCGAGTGACTACAGTGGCTCAATCTTAAGTTTATCAAGCGACGAGAATACTTTTTGTGCGCAACAAACAAACAAAAATAACGACTTTATTCAACTAATCATTTCCTTCTCTGTGGGCCGTGATATTTCACGTAGTGAAACTACGCAGAGCTTCTAGGTTGTACGTCACGCATCACAAACACACAAACATGACCAGCGTCGGCCAATAGTGAGCCTGCGTGTGACGTGCTACCTAGAAGCTTTGCGCAATATCACTACGTGAAATATCACAGCCGTACAGAGAAGGAAATGATTAGTTGAATAAAGTCGTTATTTTTGTTTGTTTGTTGCACCACACATACCTCTGTGCCGGGTGAGCAAACTTGCATTCTGATTTATACTAGCGGTGTAATAGAACAGTGACAGTATAGAAAACAAAATTCTCAGTGCCACTGAAAATTACTACGAAATATAAATGCAATAACATTTACCCGGTACATCCAAATGTTAATTTCATTTTAACAGGCTACAATTTGGAAAGGATGCTGCATAATACAACGTAAAAAAGCCATTTGTGCTTAGATTGAACCAAAAACAAAAACATTGTTTCTAATTCAGTATTAACTTTGTTTCTTAAACTGTATAAAAATAAAATTTCACTCTCAACCATGCTGTTGTAATGACTATCAGCATGGCTGTGATTACCTGAGGCCTAGTGTGGACGGGCTGATATTCAATACAACAGCACTCCTGCTCATGTGATGTTTCACAATAAACGTACCCAACAACTGACATAAAATCTACAATAAAATGAATCAGTAAATCAACAGACAGCATGACAAAGCAAGAACAATGTTATCGTCTACATAGCTTTGAAAAGGATATCATCACACTTCTCTTTGTATTCACTCAAGAGACGGCTGAAATAAAAATGTGAAAGTTATTAGAAGATAATAATGTTAGTTTTATTTGACAAAGCAGCAGTTAAAACTGAAATGTCAGCCAGTAAGATGTTCATCTTTGCCATTAAGCATGAATCTGATTATTACAGTTCCAGTACTTACAAAAAAAAACTGTAAATATATTTCTTTAAACATTCTAGTTGGAACACCCTAATATTAAACCTTTGCAACTCAATTGCAATTAATAAAGTTTGAACCATTTAACAAACATGTTATATTCAAACTCTGCTATGTGCATTTATTTACTTACTGTAAAATGTATATGTAATAAAGTGAAAGTGACGTTAAGGCCAAGTATGGCAACCCATACTCAGAATGCCCTCTGCATTTAACCCATCCAAGTTAGTGCACAAACATTAGGAGTATAGTGAGTAGTGAACACACACTGCAAACCGTGACACAATGTTGTGTTTAAAATTTGTGAATCTTCCAGAGAATCTTCCAGAGTCGTTGATAGAGTTGCGACACTCCCATAGACTTTCACTGGAATCAGAGAATGCAGAAGGATCGTGTGTCGTCGGGCAAAAGATAGTTGTGAACTTTGGAATCCAAACAATAAATGGTTCCTGCGATGAACCCCATTCATTTCAGTATCTTCCAAGCACATCCGCTGGCAAGTTGATGAAATTACTGTTTTTTGACATGTTCACGCTTTAGCTGACCTCTCATGAGTATCATTTTTGTTTTGCCAGTTTTTGTTCAATGTTCATCGTTATTCAAACTCAAATCAAGAAAAGTTGGGACATTTTGTAAAATGCAATAAAATCAATAATCTGTGATTTGTTGATTCTCTTTCAACTTTATTTAACTGACAAAAGTACAAAGAAAATATTTTGTTTTCACTGAACAATTTTATATATTTTGCAAATACAAACATTTTGATTTTGGTTGCTGCTACACACTCTAAAAAAGTTGGGACAGAGGCTAAATAAAAGTTAAAAGCTTATAGAATATCTAAATTAAACTTTTGAAACAGTCAACAATAAGTGAATTGGAAAAGGGTGAGGGTATCATGATTGAGTGTAAAAGGAGCATCTCAGTATTTGCTAGCAAAGATGGGTCATCATGGCTCATCACTTTGTGCCAAAAATCATGAGAATTGTTAAACAATTCAAAAATCACATTTCTCAATGCAAGTTTGCAACAACAAAAAAATAGGTTTTTCACCATCTACCATACATAATATTGTGAAAAGATTCAGGGAATACAGAGAAATCTCAGTCCATGTAATGCAAGACAGGAAACCTGTTGAATGTGTGTGACCTTTGAGCCCTTATACGGCATTGCATGAGAAATATACATCAGTTCTTTGCAGAGATGCCGGCGAGTTTTCAGGGCCCAAGCTCATCTCAGATGGTCTAAAAGACAGTGGAAATGTGTGCTGTGATCAGATGAGTCCACCTTTCAGCTTGATTTTAGGAAAAACAGCCCCAAAGACAAAACTGGCCATTCAAACTTTCATCTCCGACAAGTACTAACGCAAACATCTGTCATCATGATACGGAGGTGCATCAGTGCAAACGGTATGGGTGACTTGCATGTGTGTGAAGGAACCATTGACGTGGAGGTGTATATTGGGTTCATTGCATATTGGGATTAGACATTTAATGGCATCAGACGACATCTTTCCTGGGAAGCAAGACAATGCCAGGCCTCATTCAGCATCTGCTACAACACAGTGGTTTTGTAGATGCTCTACATTGTAGAGTGGATGTGCCTGACTGGTCTGCCTGCCTGCAGTCCAGGTCTGTCTCCTACTGAAGATGCATGACCCATCATGAAAAGGAGAAGCAGACAACCACGACCAACTGTTGAGCAGCTGTCTTGTATCAGGTGAGATTGGGCAAAAAAAAATCCACTTCCAAAACTGCAACAATTAGTATCCTCAATTCTTATTAATTCATTTAATGAATTATGAATTAATTCAAAAGTGTAATTTAAAAGAAAGGTAATTTGACAGTGGTAAACATGCCTATGTCCCAACTTTTTTAGAGTGTGTTGCAGCCATCAAAATAAAAATAAAAATAATATTTACAAAATACAATTAAGTTGTTCAGTGAAAAGATTGGAAATCTTTCCTTTGCACTTTTGTCAGTTAAAGTTGAAAGAGAATTAACAAATTACAGATTCTTGATTTTATTGCATTTTACAAAATGTCCCAACTTTTCTTGATTTGAGGTTGTATAATAGCTAATAAGATTCTAATTGTAGTTAAACAACATGATTCACACTTCACTAACCAGATGTCAGTTTGTTTAGGCCCGGAACACATAGGGCCACTATAGCAAACCTAAGGGCCCCCTTTATAGTAGCCTATCTTGGTGCCACAGCGTTTTCTACCACAGAAATAATTAGTAAAAAAAAAAATATATATATATATATATATATATATATCCAACATTCATACAACATGTTATTCTTACTACAGATAATATTACATATACTACACATTACACGTTATAATATTACTATTATCACACCTCTTTTAAAACATCCCTTAGTCTTACAAGTCCACGTAGTAATCAGTGCACCTTATGCTTTGATATTTACCAAAATTGCCTGCTATCTGTCCCACTGCAACCCATTTAAACATGATGACAGCTTGGGTTTGTCTGGGACTATTGAGATCTACATGAACCACGTGACCGCGAGATCACAGAAGAGTGTCGCAATTCTCTTTTTTTTTAACGGCTCTGCCAATGACTTGATCAACTGACAGAATGATCAACGTTCAAATGAACCGACAGTAGTGGTGTCACTGTAATACTTGCATAGTAATTCAGTAATTGGTTTCTTTCTTGCATCTATTGGCATACCAAATTGTTTAGATCCCATTTTTCATTAGCAGAAAACAATACGCTGAGTGTCATGACAACAGAGCGTTGTCAGAGCGGTGGTGCAGAAGAACCAAAGTCAGACATTACCTAATGTCAGTACCTAACATTTGTAATACTGTTTTTTTTTTTGTACTGGACTAAATGTATGTGTAAGGTATTCTTGAATTGCTAGAATATAATTAAAAACAACAGTAATAAATAAAGCACTCACTCCGTGTCGACGATCTTTTGCTTGAGAGTTAACAAAGCAGCCACATATTCATCTAAGTTCTGAAAATGTAAACATAGTATTAGCTTTACTTGTAATCAACAGCCAAAACCATGAAAAGTAAATTTATCAAACTAAAAGAATGACAGTGGCACCTGTATTAAACACCAAATTAATAAACTAATAAGAAAAAAAACAGTTGCGTGCCACTAACGTTAATCATCGTGCCATAAAATCACATTCATACGATGTGACTGTAAAATTAAAACAGGTGTAATATAGCGTATTCATCCACTCAATCTGCATGTGTTTAACAACCAAATAATTATCAAATTAACATATTGCGTTATTAATTCTCGTGGCATGGCCATAATTACTGGAGTAACCAATTAAGCAAGCAAATAACTACTGGACAGTAACTATGTTAGTTTGGGGAATAAACTTCTCACCTGATTTAAAACAGTGCAGTTTTGACAGGTGCCAGGAGTTGCTTCAGAGGCGATTCCTCCGGCTTTGGACTGGTTCTCCCCCGGCATCATGGTAAAGATTCAATAATATCAGCGGAATCGTATTCGTCACTCCAAATATATAAAAACGTGTAACCAAAACAAGCCTCTCAGATCATTGCGCACGCAAACGTTCCGCAGCACGTTGACTGAGGACCCCAGGGGAAGGGCCCCAGCTGCCCGCTGTAGACGCCTGATTAAAAAGTGATATGGTTTCATAAAACTTTTAAAATTATTGTACGGTGGTATTTCAAACAAAGTTCATCACTTTATAAAGTAAAACGTAATTTACAGTTTGAAACGAATGGGGTAAACTTTAATATAATTAGATTATAATAATGGAGTTGATTCTAGGCATATGGGGTAGAAATAGCTTCTGACCGCTGTGAAACTCTAGGTAGGGAAAACACGTCCTGGTCTGACAAAACAAGGATGATCAGGACGCATTAACGTGCATTAACAATTCGACATTTCAGGAACAACCCATGTTTAAGAACGAATTTATGAAAAACAAGGACAAAAAATGGCGATCTTTAGTTGTGCCTGAGACTTTTCTCAGCGCTGGTCACGAATGACCAATCAAAAAAAAAAAAAAAAAAACACTGCGACGTCAATTAGCTACCAATCCTTGGAATTAATCTACAGTTTCTACACTGTGGTGTACAAAACATCGAGGAAAAATTGTGTTAAACAGTAAAAAAAAAAAAAAACTTTTCCCCAAACTTTGAAGTGGTCAGGAATTTGTTGATGTACATTGATGTGTAATATTGTTGTTTCAGATGGCACCACTGTTTAATTTTAATTTTGATTAACATTTCAGCTGTATTTTCAATGTTTGTACAAAAGTGATTTAGAATCAACATTACATTGTAACATTGATTCAACAATATTAATGATTCTTTTTTTTCTTTTTTTTACATTGTTTCAACATTTATTGTGGGTGCAAAAGTGACATTGAACCAACAAATACTTTATTGTCAGACAAGTCTGAAATTCTTCTTGCATAGGCTAACATTAAACATCGACATACACGTAAACCTCCCATTATACATTCAATACTACACTTATACAACTACAACACCTTCACAATACTCTTGATTTCTGATTAAGTGTTTTGTTCAACACCAAGATAGCCTGATGCACAAAAGAGTGTTTCAGCCTCGCCTTGTTGAATCTTGGAACTCTGTACCTCCGCTTTGATGGTATAATTCAAACTCATTATGCAGGATATGAATTTAGAAACCATATTATTAGCCAGCCTTAGCAAATTGTTATAATGAGCTGAATCATAAAGCTTCTCAAGAGGCTGACCAACAATTTTTGAACAGATTTTTAATTGATTAAACAACTTTGTTTTTAGCATAACAGACAAACTCTTATACCAAATAGAGTTGCAATATTGCAGTACTCATTATCACAGACCTAAAGAACAACAGAATAATCTGTTTTCTTACTCCAAATGACCTAAGACGATGAAGAAAGTAAATTATCTGCTTTGTTCTTTTACAGAGAGTATCAATATGATCTTTCCAGGATAACATATCATCTATCATCACTCCTAAATATTGGTATGTTTTAAGCAGTCTGAGTTCTCTTACGAGAGGTTCTCTCGTATTGCGTAAGCTAGCTTACGCTACGGGAAAGATTCATCTTTTCTGAGAAATTGAAGCCAAAAAATTATCCTATAATTTTGTATCCATTGTCAACGCAGTTCAGCTGCAGCAGACCATGAGCGGGCTAGCTAGCAGCTCATTGGTTCGCTCACAGAGAACTGCTTAAGCCTATGAGGAGACGCGAATGAACTCTCGGCCAATGAGAGTCTGACATGCTCTCATTACGTCAGAGCCCGCCGAAACGGGCGTGGTCAGAGAGTATATTACTGGCGTCCTAGGCTGTAAACTCTGATTTTCATCTCTTCAGCGAGGCTACACGCATCTGCTGATCCTGAGAGAAGCCGCCGTCGTTGAAAAGGCACCTTCTAGCGAGCATCTGGGAGACTGAGGAAGCCGGCCGTCTTCGCCACCTTCAGCCGTCCTGCAAGCTAGCGCCATCCGACGACGTATCCTTTACAATTGTATTTTGTTTGTGTACCTTCACAAAAGAGCAGCGAGCGTCTTTTTTAAGATGCCTCGCACACCTGCGGCTCATGCCGCGTCCCTCTCAGCGCCAGAGCCCGCCTTCTTCTGCGCTCTCTGCCTGGGACTGGAACACGCAGAGCTTTCTCTCGCCGACGGCGGATGTTTCCTCTGCGAATGGGCTTCTGTTGTCGACCCTGCGGGCTCGACTCGAAGCGTTACGCCGCCTCCCCCTCTCACCGCCCACGAGCGCTGAATGGGGGACGAGCCGCTTACAGCTGTGCCAACCGCGGCTAGCTTTCTTTACTTTACAAGAGAGCTAGCCCGGCCCCGTGCATACGCGTCACCGGCAAATGCGTTAGTTCCGTCGAGGCCGAACTAGTCGCTGCTATCACGGCCTCTTATCTGTCGCGCTATTAAGCCTGTGTCTTCCCCCTAGCTCAGTGGTGGAACACAAAGCTTTTCGCGCCAGAGACCCGTGTTCGATTCCGGCTCTCGCAGATAATTTTTTATGCAGCTCTGAGCTCTCGGCTAGCTTTCTTACGTTACAGAAAGCGGCCGCGCTCTCCCGCCTGCATATAACGCCGCTACATAAAGCGCTTATAGTGTATCAGTTCCGCTGAGGCCGAACCTGTTTCTGCTATCACGCCCTCTTATCTGCTCGCGCTGTTAAGTTTGTGTCTTTACCCCTGGCTCAGTGGTGGAACACAAAGCTTTTCGCGCCAGAGATCCGTGTTCGATTCCGGCTCTCGCAGATAATCTTTATGCAGCTCTGAGCTCGCGCCCAGCTCTCTTACGTGACAGAAAGCGGCCGCGCTCTCCCGCGCTCATGAGAAACGTTCTCATTTCCGAGCATAAAGCTGGACAAATGGGTTATAGTGTGTTAGTTCCGCTGAGGCCGAACCTGTCACTGCTATCACGCCGTCTTATCTGCTCGCGCTACTGTGCTTGTGTCATTACCCCTGTGGCTCAGTGGTGTATCACAAAGCTTTTCGCGCCAGAGACCCGCGTTCGATTCCGGCTCTCGCAGATAATTTTTATGCCGCGCGCATCACAAGTCCAGCCTCTGCAGGCTAAAAATAGTCTCGTGCCCGCTTGCAGCGCTCACGTTTCTAACACGCACTTGCACGCGACGCGCGTCACAAGTGCAGCCGATTTCAGGCTATATATATATCCCGCTGCAGGCCGCTCACGTGACCAGCCTCAGCTGAGAAAAGGACGGCTATTTCTCGCCACGGCCGAACCGCCATCAAAGTTTCGCCCTCTGTCAGTCCCCGTTCACACGGCTACTGCAGCAGTGTACACCGCCATCAACAAGCCGGTCTTTTTTCCCGCTTGCATGTGCACAAACGCCGTTTTCACCGCGACCCAGAGAAATCTAAAAAAGTGCATAAAAGCCTCTTTTGTAGAAAATGTGCCCACAACACTGTGTTCACTCATACACAAAGCACTGCATGTGCACAAACACCGTTTTCACGGCGACCCAGAGATATCTCAAAAAGAGCATAAAAGCCTCTTGTGTAGAAAATGTGCCCACAACACTGTGTTCACTCATACACAAAAGCACTGCAGCTCCCTTGTCTCACACAGAGTCCACTCTCATAAAGCGGTTCCAACCCGCTCGAGTTTCAGAGTGCATAAGCGCGCCCACGAGCCCGTGTGCGCGTCCCACCTCTGCTTACTCGGTTACACGGCCCATAAACTCCTCTCCGAGTGTTAGTCCCGCTGTTATAAACACTATGAGCGCGCTCACGCAGCCCGCTATGTGCAGCGACGGGAACCATGTAGCCATTCACCCTCTAGCGTTACGCTTCAAAGCGTGGGAAGCTATTCCGGGAATTTCCCAGTGGGTGCTAAACACAATGAAGTTAGGCTATCGCTTACAGTTTCACCGCCGCCCTCCACGTTTTCGAGCGCGGCTAGAAACTATTGTGAACCCAGAAGCAGTGACGCTGCTCCGTTCAGAGATAGCAAAGCTATTGTGCAAAAGGGCTATAGAGAGAGTTCCTCTGTCTATGAGCGAGTCGGGGTTTTACGGACGTTATTTTCTGGTTCCCAAGAAAGATGGCGGCCTCAGACCAATCTTAGACCTCAGATTTCTGAACAAAGTTCTCATGAAGAGACCGTTCAAAATGCTCACTATCAGAAAACTCCTCGCGCATGTGCGCCAGGGGGACTGGTTAATTTCACTAGATCTGAAAGATGCTTACTCTCAGATTCAGATAAATCCCCTTCACAGGCCATTCTTACGTTTCGCCTTCGAAGGCCAGGTTTATCAATACACCGTCCTTCCGTTCGGCCTATCCCTAGCACCCCGTACGTTCACGAAGTGCATGGATGCGGCGCTCGCCCCCCTGCGGAGTCAGGGGCTGCGAATACTGAACTATTTGGACGACTGGCTGATTTTGGCACAATCACAGAGAGAGCTACTGTCCCATCTGAAAGCTTTGGGCCTCTCTGTCAACTGGACAAAGAGCGCACTACAACCCAGTCAGACTATCTCCTTCTTGGGTATAGAGCTAGACTCGGTCACGATGACGGCTCGTCGGTCAACACAGCGCGCGCGCCGTGTTCAGCGTCTCGCCGCATCTTTTCAGATGAACAGACTCACACCTCTGAAAACTTGTCAGAAGGCGTTGGGTTACATGGCCTCAGCCTCCGCGGTGCTCCAGGTGGGGTTACTGCGCATGTGCCCGCTTCAGCTCTGGTTGAAGAGCCGTGTGTCTCACCGTGCGTGGACCACGGGCCGCCAGCTGATAAAAGTAACGCAGACCTGTATCACAGCTCTGCAGCCATGGACTGTGGCAAAATGGTTTCAGCGGGGCGTTTCCATGGGGACCTTTTCTCGCCGAAAAGTCATCTCGACAGACGCATCCAACTCGGGTTGGGGTGCGGTCTGCGAGGGCTCACCGGCCTTCGGCCCCTGGTCAGCTCAGGAGAGCCACTTCCACATAAACTGTTTGGAGATGCTGGCGGTCGAGAACGCGCTCACGCGCTTTCTTCTGCGCATTCACGGTCACCACGTGCTGATCCGTTCGGACAATATAGCTGTGGTCTCCTATCTAAACCGTCAGGGCGGAGTCAGAT